TGACACTCTGCGAATTTCCCAAACTAATCAATCAATGATAAGAATACCATTTACAGGCTAAACAACATTGTACTTAAATTTAGCGAGAAAAATTATCTCTGCTTTTAGGAATGTTCTCAAATGACAGTTTGACAGAGCTAAATTGACAATTTAATTAGATTCTTAGGCAAGTGGATGACGATTGAATGGTTGCACGCAGACGGCAGTTAAATATAAATCGGACTTATCAGGAAAGCTTCATTAGTTGCAAGCCTAAGATTTTGATGCCCTATTTATATACATAGATATTTGCATAAATATTTGGATATCACTTGAGTGAACAAGAACTCCCAAATTGCTTGCCGTTATGATTTTCTCCCTCGGCACCCACTCAAATATGCCAAATATACCAAAACAGCCTAGTTTTCACTAGTTCAATCCCTCGCACAAAAAAATAAACTTTCTATCTGATTTTGAAAGTTTTGCACCATTATACCCCCAGATAGTTATATTATCATATCTAATATCATTATATCAAACTCACAATGCTCTGGTGTGAAGTACTTATAACCCTCCGATTTGGTTGAAATTTTAGAATTATGTGGTCCAGGTAAATACAACCAACGTTTCTTGAGGCAGTTTGTCGGATGGTTAGAATTTGTCAAAATGTTTTGGACGAAAGTAAAACAAATGGGGAATTTTTACCAAGAGGAGGTTTCAAAGGAAAAAATTACCAGTCTTCGTCAGCTTTGACCTAAAATATTTTGACAAATTCTAACAATCGCACAAACTGCCTCAAGAAACTTTGGTTGTATTGACATGGACCACGTAATTTCAAAATTTCGACCAAATCGGAGGGTAACACTTCACACCATCGCATTGTCAGATTTTTTTTTCAAATTATAATTTTTTTTATGACGCAATTTTCGAAAATATTTATATAAAAAAATAAAAAAATAAAAAATTTCGGTATCAGATATTACATACATACCCACTATATATCTGGGAATATACTAAATGGTGAAAGTTTCCAAATTCCTATCAAATTTGGATTTTTGACGAGCGTTTGAAGATAATGATTTTCGTGTTTTTTTACCCCCTAAAGTGTGTGTGGCGAGAGTAAATGACGCCATGACATCAAACCACATGGAGGCTCTTATTGCTTACTCATGGACATCGGAACTTACGGGTGGCAAGTAGTGAAGCTCCCCTCCTCAGTGGGTTTATGCAACGCAAAATTATTTTTTATCATTTCCTATCAGGGTTTATGTGTAGTTGTTATATGTAAAATGATGTAATGCATAGGGACCGTGCAACACGGGTGTGTTCGATTTGAAAAGAAAAGAAGAGGTCGATACCGCCGATTGTAAGCAGCCGGATTTTATGTATGGAAATTGACATACATACATATTAATTTCAGCGAGCTTAATTCTGTACTAAACATGCACGACTGGACTAATTGTCATTTATGCCATCATTTACTGATATACACGTTGGCCAAAAACTCCAATAACTACTCGTTACCTAATTAAATATCTCTTACCTCAAATTACCTCTGTTCCCGAAAGTTGATTATTTGCGCTATTTCTTTAAAATAAATATTGCATACGTGTTTAATTGGATTCAGTTTTTCATGATGAACTAGTTATGTATTTATACTTTTTTATATGCATAACTTGTTAATTTTTATTCTATGTATATACAATGCCGACCCCATCCTGGGCGTAGTTTAATAAGCAGTAGTTTTTATTCTTAAAAATTGTTCCGTCCAAATCCACATTTCTCCCTAGTTCAAATCGAAACTTTTTAGTCCTTCGTAATAGAAAATTATGAAAAATTATTTTTAAAATTATCAACAGAAACGTATCAATGGTAAAAATGACGCAATAACAAATTAAATCTGTGCGAAGACTTTTGATAATTCACTGGACATTACTATTTATTTCCACATTACATATAATAATAATTATGTCTGTAGTTGTTGTAATTTCTTGATCCAAACCTTAACCTTCATTACGAATTAACGGGTTAACAAAACCCAGAATTTTTAATTAAAACCCCAGATTTTTCCAAACCCTTCTGGCAAAATGCCTTAACCAATTCGATAAAAAGTCATTACGCAATTTGTTACCACATCGTTCTACCTTTTGTTACACTCTCCGAAAAATGTTTACCGGAATCATTACCCCGTGTAGTCTATATATGACTCTACTGCTGTGGTAATGGGTTAGTTACCGCGCGGTATTTAACAGAAAGATTACCATCCCGGCATTAACGTATTACTCCACAATAATATCATAAATATCATGCAATATGAACCTGCAACTGCACGCAGTAATGAAGTAATATTAGCCAGTAATGATATTATGATAAATGTATAAAGATGCTTATTACTGGGTGGTAAATAATCAACACCGCACCATAATCATATTATTATCGTTTGCTTATCGATATTTATTATTATGGTAATAAATGTTTCACTATTTCGGTAATTATTTTGATTATTTATTGTAATAATTCGCAATAATTAAACTACACAACTTAATTAAATACAAAAACCAATCAAGTTATATATAGCCTAAATTACAAATACATATATTTTTACAAGTAATGCCTTAAAACTAAATGAAAAGCATCGGTATTACAATTTTTTTGAAACTCAAAACATTCATGAACAATTAAATTAGATATATCCACAACTTCAAACAAATCATTTGTACGTGTAACAATATAGGAAAAATAGTGTCTGTCAAAGAAGTCTACATTTAGCTTTTTCAAAAATAACAGGCATCTGGTTTCATCAATTAATATTAGGTCCTGAATTACACCAAAATTTGGAAAAATATTTCCCATTCCATAGCAAACAACATAATCAATTTTGTATTTATAATTACGATACCAGACCTTATTTGCTGTATAAACTTTTGTATTTCCGTCACATTCTTTAAATATGTCAAACTGTCTTAATTTCTCGATTAAATCAAAAGACTCAGCAAATTCATACAAATTAGATACTACTATATTATCTGCCCTAACCCCCTCATTAATTTCAATAGTTTTTAACAAATGAGAACTATACTGTTGATGCCTTTTAGCCAACGATGAACAAATATTACGAAAATTTCTTATTTGTCCTGCTAATTGAGAAAAATAATTATGTTTCCCCTCATACCGCATGGCCCACATTGATACTAATGGCCCACTTTGCCTAATGACAAAAGAATAGTGACACATTAAATGGTGCTTGGGGATAAGTTTTTGATCTGGGAACAACTTACGAAATAGATTATGATGGCTAACTATTTTTGCATCTAATAATAACAAAGTAGATTCTGAAAATTTCCGACAAAATACATAGCTCAAAATCTCCAAAAGTTGCAATAAAATTTCCCAATATTTTTTTTGCTCATTACTAATAACTAAATCCCCAATAATCACTGGTAAATACCGAATCAGACACCAGGCTTGAGAAGCTTTTTGTCCAATTTTGTTTCCCGATCCTTCTAGTCGTATTGGACTTGGGCGATTCTTTGATTCTAAATAGCCAAAATTATGGGCCTGAATTCTTTGATTAATTAAATCTAAATCAAAGCACTTTAAAGATATTAATTTTTGTAAAACTAGTTTGATTTCGTACGGAACGACACCTTCCAGTAAATCGTGCATAATGTCAACAGACGGACTATCTAAAAAATTAAAATAATTAAGTTGATTTAAAATACATTCAGTTTGAACACCAAAAGATTTGTCACTTAAATGATTGGCATAATTACTTTTGTCCCTGACTATCATTTTGCTATGCTCAAATATTTCTTGTGCTTCACTTTTAGATGTACAGCATATTCGACAAAAATAATGGGAATTAAACGACTCATTAAATCCTAGCAAACTATTTCCACCTAAGTTGTCAAACGCAAGAGAACACAAAGTACCAAAAATTCTATCAGATCCATTTACCGATATGCCCACTTTCTCAAGATACAGGAAATCTGGAATTATTAATTTCAGAATTGAATTAATACCATACTTTTTGGCATCCTCCGAATAAAACAAGGCTAATAAATGTATTGAGCTAAGTTGGGAATTAATATAATCTGGAAGATTTTTAATAGTAAAGTAAAACGCTCCCAATTTGTGAATTCCTCGTTTTGAGCCAAGGGGATTGACTGTTTCAAAATCATCATAGAAAAGTTGAATTTGAATAGAATTCGGGTTCCTTGAAAAAAGACAATTAGTTTTAAATGCAACTGTATCTTTAAATGACTCGATTGAATTGGAATTTGAAGGTACAACTTTTGAAAAACACTGATAAATATCTGGAGATGAAACAAGTTTTTCTAAACTCTTGAGAATTGGTACATACATAAATGTATCTGATACAATAACTTCTTGACGTTTGTTATCTCTCACCCTTTGCTCCAGCCTACTTCCTAACGAATATTCTTTTGGCATAATTATTTGGCTATATTTTTCTAACGCTTTCTGTCGTTTGTAAATAGAATTTACGTGACTGAACGCTTCTATTAAAGATAGCGACTGGCAACTAAAGTCCTCAAAATTTTCTTTGCAAAATTTGTTGCTTATCCTTAAAATTAATTTTGAAATTTGAAGAAACGAATTTTCAAACTCTTTAACAACAAAGTCCACAGTTGAATTGGTAACACCTGAGGCTAACAATGACGAGCAGAATGAAATTAAAATATCTTTCATTACGTTAATTCCTAAATTGGTAGTAATATCTGCTTGTTCATTAAATTCAGTTAAATTGGGATCATTACCTACGTCATCTAAGACTGGATCTACTAAATTAAGTGAGGGAGTTAAATTTTCCTCAAAATTCTTATCATAATTTTCAGAATCTAAAACAATTTCGTGGGACTTAAAATGCCTCAACAATCCACTCCATGTACATATTTGTGTGCTACAAGACTGTTTAGGACATATTGTAGCTGGAAAATTTGCCTCACCGTAATTATGAATGCACCTAAAATGTACTATAATCTCTCTAAATTTACAAAATACTTTTCCACATGGACCACAAGTATACATTTTAATTTGTCGAGGAATTTGACGTTTGAAGATAAGTAGAAATTTGCTGGAACACTTGTTTCACTTTTCTTGATAGCTGAGTAGTTGTTTCAAGTTGAAAAATGTGTACTTGAATAAACTTCCAAATTCCGGTCAAATTTTTGTCGTATTCTGTTCCAATTACGTAATGAGCCTTAAATAGGGAATCGATTGCCTCGGTTGAAGTTCTTGCGTTGATTGGGAGGAGGATTCGATCACAAATTATGTAGAAGGACGTCAAATTGGAGTGGTCCTCGCCTAGTACAATGAGCGCTGGTTGGGAAGTCTCAAAATTCCAAGTGTCCACAATTGATTTCAAGGGCGTTTCAGCCTATTTAAACACATATTTATTAAAACTGTCCCATATCGTTTAGCTGACCCTCTTAAATTATTCCCGCGCTTACCCGGTAAAAAGTAACCAACTTTAACTTTGCGTCGTCAATTTTACAGCGTCCCCCTTTCCCTCTCCCTTGAGCGCTTGGAGGAATAAGGTGTAACAGAACAAATAGAGCTGCTATTGATTTGTCCCAATTATCTGTGACAACAAAACAGTGGTTAGCAATTTATTTACGAAATTTATGATTATTAGATTTACGGAAACACTTACCATAATTATTGTTTGCGAATTTCAATAGGGCTGGCGAATTACTTAAAGTTTTGCAGTGCGCAATCAATCGGTCAGCAAATTCCGGCCACGTGTTTAGAAAGTTTTGTTCAAGGTCAGGAAACATTAGCGAAAACTCAAAATTAACCTGAACAGAAGTATTAATTGTATATTTATGACATGCGTAATTATTAAAATTAAGTTAATAATTCAAACCAAGTAGGAACATTCCGCAAATTTTGAGTACACACGTAGCACTGATTGATCGTTTGACCGTCTTATCTGGTTTCTGTGTTCAAAAGTTTCCTTCATGAGTGATACAATTTCACCTTTTTTAGTGCTTGAATTTAGGGCCGCCGTTAATTCCAAGTTGGGGAAAACCTCCTCTGCGCCTTTCGCTATTTTTGGCTTTGGGCCACCTTGACTTTCTTCTTTTTTCCGACGCCTCGTATCAACTTCCGGTTTCCTAATGTTTCTGTGAATCCACTTGAGTCGTTGTTGAATTAGGCCAGACCGGTTAATTTCATCATAAAGAATATCCTGCAATTTACACAAGACACTTTTAGAATAATTTTTTTAGTAATTATTGTTACGAAAATTTATTTGCAATAGTAATTTACAATTCCGTCTGGCGTTCCCGGATATTTCCAGAAAGGCAGAATTTCAACAATCGCCTTTGCAAAAGATATCTGGTCTCGAGTGCATGGTGAGTTACTACATAACAGAAAATATTATTTACAAACAGCAAGGAACTTATTTAAAAATAATTACCCTTTTAAGTCTACCAATTTCGACACAAACTCGTTAACAATTATTGCCGCCGCTGAGTTATCGACGAGGGACTTCTCTCTGCACTCCAAGATTAGATTCGCCAAACGCGGCGTCTTCTCGACATATTCCTCTAATATCTAATATCGAAAAAAATCAAAAATTGTAGTTACTATGTACTTGTTAGAATATATTGAGCTGATGAACTGTTTACCTGCTTAAATACATCAACGTCACCAAGTCCTAATGATGGCGAAACTGGTGATGGCGCCGGTGAACACAATGGACTTGGCACTACAAAATTATTAATTATTATTAATTATCAGGTCATATATTAATTCCTGGAGGTATTACTTATCTATGTAGTACTTACAATAATAAATTTGAGGACTGGAACCGGCGTCCTGAATTGCGCTTACTGTAAAGTCCTCGCCTTGAATTCGAAATGTAATATTCGGTTTTTCTTCCTCCCATAAAATTGGAAACACATCCGCATCAATCTCGGCACCTTGGTCGTCTTCGATAAGTATCTGGATGTCGTCAGCAAGCTCAAACTTTATTCTAACTGTAAAATAAAGTTGCTAAATTAATAACTTAATTGAGATAATCTGCATTGAATTAATTAAATCAACAAAATCTTATCAATTTTTTCACTTGCGAATTATATTTATCTAATTAATCATGCTGACTTACCTTTTGTTAGAAATTCCTCGTAGTTATTGGAGCTCACTATTGCTTTCTTTTGATGTAAAGAATTCGAAACACGAATTAATTTATCTTTTTTGTCGCCCATTTTGTCCTCCTCGTGGTGTTTGTCGTGTGAGAGTGCGCAACTTCTTTCATTACTTGAATTGTGAAAAATAAATACCAGTGCGGTAGAATGGCAATACCGCATAAAGATTCAAATACATTACCCGGAAAATAAAGTGTTCATTATGGGGCAGTACTATACAGTTTTCTTTTTTCGTAATGAATACATACCGCTTGGTATTTTTAGCTTACCGATTTTAATCTTAGCGAATTTATCAACCCGTAGTGAACCAAAAACTTTATTAATAATAAAATTCGGTAAACAAATAATTACCGTTTTTGGTATAATTCACAATTACCAACCCGACAGTAATGATGGTCATTAAAACATCATTACCACACTTCGGAGAGTGTAAAAACAATCAAATCTTACCATCAGCGGCGTAGCAAGGATTGGGCCTTGGGGGGGCCAGCCAAAAAATATTTAAATTACCCTTTTTAGGCTTAAAATTTCCCTCACTCCCATCGCTTTAACACAGGGTATAGATTCATCGGTACACATATCCAAGCTTTAAGCGTCAGAAACCACTAACTATTAGCTCACTCAAGCTCAGTTGAACCGAGCCGAACTCGGTTCAACTGGGCATTTGGTGCACCTCTAGTTTCACCTAGAGGGTGTTCCGGAAGTAATGCATCGTTGGTAAAATGCATATATCCGAGGGTATCAATTTGCCCCAAATTCGAAATAGGGTGAGTATTGTAGTCCACACACTTACAATGCAAGTCTTTTACGTGTACAACTCAGAACTGGTTGGGACCAATTTTATTTTGTTCACCACAAAAAATAAGCATACCCGTATTTTTTCATTTTTCATAATGCGCTAATTTGAGCGCGAGGCGCGAATTTTAAAACATTTTTCAGCCAAAACCTCGCTTTTTAAAAATTCTGTAAATTTTCGAATTTTAGCACGAATCCAAAAATTCGAAAACATGTCTACTCAAAATGACTTACCTCACTTATGAAAAATCAAATTGTCTCGAAATATGAATTTCAATTTTTTTTCCCAGACTTTGAAATTCATTAAAATTATAGACTCTTTCAAATTTTTAATTTTCCAAAACATAATGCATATGGATTTTTTACAAGTCAAGTAAGTCATTCTGAAAGGCCATGTTTTCGAATTTTTGGATTCGCGCTAAAATTCGAAAATTTACAGAATTTTTAAAAACCGAGGTTTTGGCTGAAAAATGTTTTAAAATTCGCGCCTCGCGCTCAAATTAGCGCATTATGAAAAATGAAAAAATACGGGTATGCTTATTTTTTGTGGTGAACAAAATAAAATTGGTCCCAACCAGTTCTGAGTTGTACACGTAAAAGACTTGCATTGTTAGTAAAATCTTAAAACCGGAGTCGATATCTCTATCCGTTCAAAAATGAGGTCAAATACCAGCGAACAAATAGCAAGCAGGGTTGCAAGAAATTGAGCTGTGTTCACTTTAAAAAAGAACAAATTTGTTGAATACTATGGACTGGTCACTGATTGAAAGTGTCAAGTTATTTTGACCTGTAGATAATGAATGCACGAATCAAATGTAATGAAACTTTTGTGCAATACTAACGATGACCAGACGGAAGTTTTCTAATCCTTCATTGGTCCAAATACACCTTCGGTACCAGTGGAGAGAAGATTTTGTCGCACATCTCCCATGAGCGCTTCGCCACTCGTTTCATCAACTTCTATGATGGTTTTCTCCATAACCCGCCGAAATTTTTCGAAATCTTTAGGTGCCGTTTCTTCATGAGAGTATTATTTCTTAATTTATGCCCAAAATCTTGCAACTGGTCGACCCTGAGGTACGCTTGGAGCGTTCCCTTTTTCTCGACAAAATCGACTTTTTTCCCTCGAAAGTACTCTGTCACTATTTTGGTATTGTGGCACGTACCCATGTTAGACCAAAATAAAACGCGCTTGTTTTGGATAGAGGGGGTCGATCTCTTGATGACAAACTCTTTCAAATAAAGTGCAAAGTTCATATTCTTCGTAGAAACGAATGGATTTGAGACACTCCCATTTTTGTCTGTCGTCAGCCATTTTATGTATGTTATTGGAAATTTTCCTTGGTTTTGAATTTATATTTCGAACGAACGTCATTTTTACTTCTGCATGAGCAGAACTTCACACAATTGACGCTTCGAGGTCAACGAGTAGTTTTCATGATCCACGACGAGAAACTTCTGGGAGTCGATTTTAACATTTTCTCAACAAGTTTTCCATAAATTGTTTTAGCCCGGATTTTTTATCTTCATTGTATTTTAGCGCGGTAATAATGTTGCAAATTTTGAAGCCCAACTTATTGGCTATGATCTTCCGAAGATAGGTATTTGAAATTTTTAGTTGTCTGGGTGCAGCCCTCAAGGATCCGTTGGGGTTTTCTGTAAAAGTTTTTTCATGTTTCTCGTCAGTGTTTTGGTCTGCTGGTTGACAGGTCGACAAGGCAAAATTTTATATTTTGCATTTTCACGATCCTTATATCTGTATAGCATATGATTAATTTTGTCCGGTGCATCCCTTGAAAAATGCGGTGGTCAGGAGCCTTTTTCCGATTCCAGAAAAACACTTTTTTGACCGAGTGGCAAACTAATTTTTGCACTTCCTCTAGATTTTGTGCTGTCATTTTTTAACGAAAAGAGGTAATCAAATTCTGTTTGCAGTTTTAGAAAGTTTATCAAATTTTCAAATTTATATGCTTTCTTACATATCCAAAATTAGTTTTTAAGTGCTTGAAAAAGTAGGGGCAACCTTGACACTTTCAATCAGTGACCAGTCCATACTAAGGTATGAGCTGCAAAAAACTACTAATCGCAACAAAATATTTGCTCGGTCCATTCGTGTGGCAGCCCCGAAAGTAATAAACTTCGTACAAACAGAAATTTGCAATGTCGGAGCGAAATTCGCTTAAGTACTTGAAGTTGTCACCTAACACCATACATTATTTTAAAGCTTGGAAGTTGGACATCAAATCCTAGAAGGTTTTATAAGTTTATAAATACAGTGAAGAGTAAAATAAAAGTAGCAAGCCAGATGGCAGAAAAAACACCTAACCTGAAGTAATCAAAATTGGTCGTGTTGTACAACACGAGTTACTGCCTAGACAATTAAAATGCTTTTATTTCGACATAGTACAACTCTCACAATTTCAAGAAAAATATATATGCAAAACTGGAAAATAAATCTAAGCCAATGTATCTCGTTCCGCCTATAAACGGATCAAATGTAATTAACATGGAAGGGGTGAACAACGTTCGCAAATTTGCCAAATACATGAGCTATTGAACAATTTGAGTTTTTATCCAGGAAAGAATATTATAACCCAAAAAATTCAGTCAAAAATTTGGACTTATTTCACCACATGTGGTCAAAAATCCCAAAATAGGACCAAAAACAGTGGCGAAGCACTAATGGGAAGCGCCCGACAAAAGCTTCCCTAAATTGGGCGGAAGGTGATGTATGGGCCATTCGAAGCAAAAGTAATTAGCTTTAACCCTTGTCCCTTTCTGACCAAAATTTCGCCTGAATAAATTCATTGGTTTAGTTTATATGTGCATTTTACCAAAGCTGCATTGCTTCCGGAACACCCCTACCAGAAAAAGACTGACTATTCTCAAATTTCACGAGATAACTTCAATTACTTTTTAAAATTATGCAAGGGAGTATAACAACATAACTCGGGCTAAATGAAAATCATATCGAAGTAGCCCATTGTGATGAAAACTATCGCCCAATAATCTGCATTTTATGGCAGCATAACTTATAACCTAGTCGAAAAAAATTACGTCCCCCATGAAATATTGACAGCCGTGCTCCATTTACGTCAACGCTTTGAAAAAGTAAAGTCGCAAAAACTACATGATTTTTCCACGAATTCGCTAGCGAATCGGCGGACATTTCGTTGCGAACTCGATAGGGAATTCACAGCGAAATCTCAAATTGTTATCTGGGTAGCATGATTTTTTAGTACAGCTTTACGACGCTTGCAAAATTTCTTAGCTGTCGTAACTGATTTTTCGATTCAAAAAATACTAAGGCTACGAAGTAATAACGAATTCCCATAATATGTAACATATAACTTAGGCCGCAACTCACTTTTTGATTGTTTAATTTTTTTGCAATTTTTTTGCAATTTTTTATTTTTTAAGTATTTTTTTTTTATTTCTCGGGCTCTGGGGGGGGCTCAAGCCCCCCTAGCCGCCCCCCTTGGCTACGCCGCTGGGAGATACTCTGGAATTCTACTGTACTACTTCGGTACTAATTTATCACCGAAGGGTAGATAACATATTTACAAAGGCTAAATCCTGTCCAGACCTCAGGGATTTTTTAACCCTTAGAATACATTGTGTTACCAAGTTGTAGAATTTCAAAGCACCTCTACCGGTAACAATCGTATCACAAAATTTTTAAGAGTGCAGATTATCCAATCCAATTTTTAGTTCTGATATCCATCATGTCATAAATTTCAACTTTTGTCCGCAGAAGAAAACAAAAGCTATCCAACTAATCTATCCAGTCAGTATTCTAAGACAAACCTCTTAGTCACCATGAATCGCTTAAAAATGCGACTCTCTCAACTCGCCCCCACCCTCACGGCGTACGATGCTCTCCAACGTTTCACTATATTTAGTGGATCCTTGTACCCACAATATTTCGAGTGGGATAGATCGTCCTGGAAGGCACATCCAACTTCGAAAATTAAGCTGATTCCTTGGTACGCAATGTCCATTCTTCTCTCTGGTTTCCATATGTTCAGCTTGTTCATCGTGCTACGCGAGATATTGGCGTATGAGAAGGATCCCGATTTCAACATTCAGATCGGAATATTCTTAATGCTAAACATTTGCGTTTGCTCCCTCGACATGGTGATTATCGCGATCGCGGTGGGTAAAGTGGATGAGGTGTGTTTCGTGTTCGGAAATTTGCAAGGGTTGAAAAAAATTGTGATGAAACATGGTAAGGTTTGCTTCTTTGGAAGAAAAGGTAAAATGATGTGGTAACAAATTGCGTAATGACTTTTTTGGTTAAAACGTCTCGCCAGAAGGGTTTGGAATAATCTCGGGTTTCAATTTTAAAAAAATCAACCGTTACAAACGAAATGTAGCAAAGGGGTGAAAACACACGGAAATGTCTGTGGCACGCCCACAACGTCTTTCTGCACTTTCTCGTCATTGTATCATATCACCCCACGTCTCATTTTGCCCCGTTGTTATACCCCCACCCGCGTAGTTCAAACGTACACGACAATACCTTTCAATAGGCACCCCACATGACAAAAGTCATTTTTCGACATTCGACACCTCCCATACGGTCATGGAGTCGTCGCACGTCGAAATGATGGCCATTTCTGAAATTCCCGCCAAAAAATAAGTATAAAACGGTGGCAACAAAAAGTTCGGCAATTTTTGACCTTGGCGTCGTCTACACGGTCACACGGTCATCGCACGTCGAAATGATGACGATTTCTAAAATCCCCATCCAAAAATACGTCCAAAACGGTGGAAACTAAAAATTCGACACCTTTGACCGTTGGCGTCATCACCGTGGCGCCATGACCTTATGACCTACAACGCCCATCTTCGAAGTCATCCCGTCCCCAAAAATAGAAACACGTTATCCAAAACCAAATGTCGAAATTCGAATCCGTTCTAAAGTTATCGTGGATACGGACGGACGGACGGACAGACAAGACGTTTCCATAAAGGGGTTTTCACCCCTTAATAACGACTGATGGGATTTAATGTTTTTTGACTAATCGAGTTACTTGTTACGAGGGTTAAAGTTCGGAGCAAAAAATTCGGGACCCCATCTATAATTTTTGTTCTAATGTGGAGTAATGTCTTAAGTAAGGATAATCAAAAGTCTTCGTACGGAGTTGATTTGTTACCACATCATTTTGACTGTTGATACGAAATTCGTATTACGAATGTAACTTTTAAATTGATATTTTTGAAATAATTTTTCATAATTTTCAATTCCGAAGGACTCAAAATTGAACCCAAACTGATCGGAGTGTTGCTTCACGCCATGATTCCATCTCCAATTCCGGCCTGCCTCATACTCTGCAGTATTCCCATCCTCCTGCCAAAAATTGACTCCACGTACTTCATGTTTCGAAATGTGACACTTATCGGACCAACATATATTTTGATTTGCAGAATTTTGCTAATATTTTTCGTCACTTTGCACGGCAGCATCCTAATCTACGATTTTATCATACACTCGGCAAATAACGTACTTCTGCTACATGCCTATTTAAGGGTGATCGCAAACAATCCTAAAGCTATTGGTGGTCAAACAGTCCTGGATAAAAATAATGCTGCAAATTCAAATTTAGGAAATTTATCAAGAATTTTAGTTCAAAAAATTTCTTCGTTTTCTGAAAACACTAAACGCGGTAACATTTTTATAGAATTTATTATTTCAATATTCATTGCGGCTTAGTGGACGGTTGAAATAGAGATTATGTAATTCTCCTTGGAAAGCCTGCACAGTTAACACAATTCTTTACAACTTGCACCAGAATGCAAATATGCCCCCCTTGGATGACACGGTTTTCCAAATAGTAACGCGTCTATTTTCTGCCAAGAATCCTACCACCCCAAGCGCCATTATCACTGAACAAATTCCAAAAATGGGTCTCATTAACTCCACAGAGACAGGTGTCGACTCATGCAATGGCGCCGTCTCTTTGGGATTCCCGAACAGAGTTTGTACAGCTTCAAAATATTTCTTGCCCCTCAAATGTTTCCCCTTGACCTCTAAAAACAAGCTCGTCCGATGCACCTTCTTCCACATCTGGTTCAAGCCAGCCTCGCGCATGCGTCCCCACTCCTTTGCGAAGTAGGGAGCGAGCAAATTTCGGATCCCAACCTTAACCTCTACAATTCTGAACGGAGAGTCACCCTTGTTTTGTACTCCGCGACGGTTTCCGAAAAATTTAACTTGTTTCATCACATCCGCTAAAGTTTCTTCAGCACCAAGCAACGCTATTGTGTGATGGGTTCGGCTCGAATTTTCTAAAATGGTTTTATCCACCATATTTGAAACCGGTGCGTCATTGATGGACAAAACCTTTGATCCAAATTTTGTGACGAAATTAATCAATTTCGAATTCTTCCTACTTGCGAAGATTAGCTCGGGTATAATATGGTCTAGAATGTATGACCGATGCGTCTTGGTGATGGGATGATACACTGTATCCATCGCAATTAGAGGAATGTCCCAATTTAGCAAGTCCTTTACCCCGCTGGGAGTCTGTGGGGGAACGAGAATAGTCAATAGTGAATATATCGAACCCTGATAAATGTTGGTCATAAGGATGAAATTTCCAAACAGCCATAAAGTGATGAGCATTATAACGATTTTCCTCGAGCGATACTCCTTTCCTGTAGAATCGCCAACATATCCGAGGAACACGCAGGTTACGGTGATGATCTTATCTACCATGGTCCCAGCGAAGGATGACAGGCTATCTCCATTTTTCCATCCTGACCACGTCAAAAATATCGCCACCGAAATGACGCTGATTAACAAGCATGCCCACGTTTCAGGGTCAAACGGAGAAACGAAAGTTTCAATTCCACCCGCCATAATCGGCGGGTTGGTAACCGTTACGAAGTTGATAGAGTTGAACCTAACCACGTAAATTATATCTCGTAACCCAATGTTGTTTAAGCGTGGAAAAATGACAAGGCCGAAACTTCTAAGGGAAAACAAAAGCTTATGGTGACCAGTGTCCTGTAATAAGGTCAGATTATACTTTTCCGCAATTGTTGCCACAGGGCAGAATTCTGGAAATTCTGATTTTAAATATCCGCGGTGAAATGGGCCACAAGTTACGTTTATAGAGCCTTGAAAGAAGGCCAGATATTTTCGCATATCTCGGTTCTGAGCGTCCCAAGACTGTCGAATACTTGAAAATGATAAGATTTTTAGTTGCTTGAACGTGATTGGATTGCACGTCAAGCACGGAATGAAGACATCGGGTAAGGTGTGACTACCCTCGAGAAGTATAAGTTTCGCGGAACCTACAATTTGTGCGGCTCGTTTAAAGCATATTGCATCACGGTCACGAACAGTGCGACCAAATATGTATTCTTGTCGAAATATTTCGCTTAGGATGATGATTAAGTATTCACATTTTATATATCCAGAGACCGCCGTAGATTGTGGGGTGGCTTCAAGTCTGACAAAGACCGATTTAAATCGCAAGGATTTTTCCGTTTTCTGATAAACATACGCCTGCAAAGTATTCCCCCAGTCGGGAGGGAGGAAATCAGACTGCGTGTGGCAAATCACGATGTGGCGTAGAGGAGTGAACGGATTACCGGCGATCACTGCCTTGAAGTGAGACCAATCGGCGTCCTTGTCGACCATTTTGGAACACTTTGGAGCGAATATGAAGGTGAGGTCGGCATCAAGAAATACATCGCGCCACGCACCTGAGCACAAGTAACACGATGACACTGCGATGAATAAGAAAAAATCCATTGGAAAGAGCAGCATCTCGACAATTTTAAATTCAGGTTTGCATGTTTAAAAATTATTGTGGCCTTTGGCTTCTTGATGTTATTCCCTAGTATGCATTGCAATAGAATATCTGTACTTGGTTCTACACGTGTCATCATGAAAATGAATTCCAATTAATTTTACATCCTCTTTTTATGTATGTAAACTTAGTTTTGGCATTTAAACGTCAAAAGAAAACACAATTATTCTCGATTACTGTAAATCGATACAAAATATGGTTTCATTCATGTGGACCGCTAGCCAATACATTTAGTACATTGTACATACATATTTACATAAAAATACAAATGAATATTGCTCAATCTTCTTAAATAACTACTTTGGATAAATGTAATGACGCTCAAAAGTGCTTACGTACATAGTTATCGAAGAAAATAGATTGCAAATTTCGGGACAGGATGCGGAAAACAAGCTATTTCTACCTTGAGGGTTTCCTCGATTATTTTTATTTGCATCAATATAAACATGCAATGATTAGGTACATATTATGTTGTGTTCATGTTTTTGCATAATAATGAGACTTAATAAATGAATTCCGAAAACTTTAACATTGTTCTTATGACAGATTTTTCAAAAACGTAAAAATTCGACTTATTCCAATTTTTGTACGGCGCTGGTCGATCAGATTTTGAATGAATGTATGTATGTATGTAAAATGATAATAGCCTTCTGCGTTTTACACAATACATTTTATCTGCATTTCTTATTCTCTCCGAGTACAATCCAATGCTTCAATGAATAAATACTATGCACAATAATTCAACGTTCGTGCACACATATGCAATGTATGCATTTTTTCAAATATAGTATTGTGAATGGTCACATTTTTCTTATCTGGAACGATGCAAATTTACCCAAGTCTCTCTCGTAGCCATCTAATAAATATGAAACGTCACTTACAAGATTGTTAGATTTTGAAAATGACTACTTACGCAGTATTATATTCAGATAACATGTCGCGTTGGCAACAACTGTCGCAGGTCACGTTCACATATACACGTATGGACATAAATACGTACATTTATACAATCGTCAGGCGCTTAGCTTTTTCCAAATTAATGTATACATATATAATAACAAAATTCTGCAAATAACATATACATACATAAACATATTCTCTGCGAATACAGTTTTATACTCAAATGAAGATCAATACATGCAATCGTCATGCAGCATTGTGTGCGGAATAAACGCACCGATCTTATTGTATATACATACATATGCAGGTCTGTATGCATCCAGCAAAGTATTACAGACTGAAGTTATTCCAATCTGCCAATCTCTTGTGCAGTTGAAAATTTGAGGGGAAATGTTTAGCTTAAGCTGTGCAGTAATCAAATGAACGATTAGATTACAACTTGACTAAAGTATTTATGTAGTACATGAGTTCAAAGGTTTCTTTGTTGAGTGGTGAAGTTATGTAATAAAATCCGACATTTTACTCATTCTCCTCATTCTCTCAGCTACAGAAATCGTCGAGCTCATACAATTTAGTACGTTATTTTCTGGTAAGATTATTTACACTCTTAGAAAACTGGTATTAAATAATTGCCGACGAGAGTACAGATGTGACTTTATCGGCGCTGCGAATAACGGGAATCACCGGTTGGAAACGCTGTTACCACTTTGTCACAAAGTACGACCAATCGGGTTCCAAGTTATTACAAAGTCAATACTAGTACCGAGTATGCATAGAACTTACTCCCCCAGCTTTTTAAGAGTGTAAAATTCGTATATATGTAATATGATGCACATACCTATGTATAAATAAATGCAAATATATTCAGATATAATTTATTTATATATTTATCTTGTGGACTCGTAAATTTTACTACAAATTTTAGTGCTACTATACGTAAATTTACAAAATACGTAGACCCATCACCATGAGCGATTCCTACAGTGATGACGGCAGCGATGACGAAAGATACGTTTTCGAAATGAAGTCTGAAAAATATTTGAAGGCTGTGGGAAATTTTAACAGAGACGTGGCATCCTTCGAGGCAATAATTCCTGACTTGGTTCACCTGTCCAACAAGGAAAGAGGACAATATGTCGCTGAAAACTATCAACCCTACCTGTTCGGGTTGCACGATCGTCCCAAACGTGTCAAAATGGGTATTGTCCTTGGCAACATAGATGAACTGAAAACGATCTGTAGAGGATTAACAGTTGGATGGAGGCTCTGGCCAGATTGTTGGGCCGGACTTATGATGATGCTGGACTATCTGGCTGACCATACCCTGACCCCTGATATAAAAAGGTTGGACCCAGATTTCCTGCAAGTAATTAAAGAAATCGGAAAGAACGAAGATTGGTCCAACAATGTGGTCGGACCCGATTTGGCCTCCCAAGCTAAACATATACTCAGCCTGTACAACCTCCCTGCGGGTTATAAGAAGAAGGTTAGTTGGGTTTTATTTTTCTAATTTTTTCAACAATTTCTAAAAATTGCACAAGTTTACAAATGATTAAAAATGTCGATAAGATTATGTATGACAGATGGGACATATAAAGCAAGTTAGAAATTTGTACCGCAATTTCCGCGTCTAATTGTAAGAATTGATAATTCCTTCATTCACGCTTACAAATATATTCTTCTGTGTGAAGTAAAAATGAAATCCATGCATGGGATTTTTTGTAAGGTTTTAAACATCAAGTAAGAAAATTTAACAGTCAAATTATTAGGGCGGGTAAATCGGGTAAAATACCCGTTGGGTACAGGGCATTCCCAAAAAGGCCGGTACTGGGTAATTACCAGGTACCTGGGGCATCCCTGGTCAAAATTGAAGAAAATCAATTGAAGCCTACATACGCATTTCTTGTCACCCGAAAATTCAATTTTGTTTCTATGTATCTGTCACTCGACAACTTTTACATACGACACAAATTTAGATGAACAAAAATCCTCCTCTTTCAACTTTATTTATCTCGATTAAAATTTCCGTTGAGCACGATATTGAATTCAGAACTACATCTGGTAGCAACCAATTGAATTTCCACGAGTTTCTGTAAAAACTCAATGTTTATTTCAACCAGTTTCCAAGTTTTGATTTTTTTGGCGAAAATCACCAAAACTTCTCTTTTTAACATTGGTCGGTATAGGGAAAATTCCAGAATTTGTGAAGAAAAATATCCAAAAAAGTCTTTTTACCATCGAGTTTTCCACAAAATATCAGAGAAACACTCGGATTTTGAGCAATTTTTAAAGAAGCTGCATTTTAAAAAAATACGTGATATGACACATTTAGTCCTCAAGAGAGAGTCGTGATGGTCCGTCATATGACGAATTCGGTATGCAACGGATTTTTTTTAAATACGTGATATGACGTATTTGGTCTCTTGGGACATGTTTTGAAATACGTTATATGACGTATTAAAGTGAAAAGAGGTTAATAAATAAATCACAAATTACATATATATGTATGTATGTACGTATGTATATGTAATTATGCATTCAATTATATTTATCACTAATATGTAACCATTCCTGAATGTGTAAAGGCTGTTGGATATGATGCAATAAATAAATTATTTATTATTATTATGTATACGTGTAATTATAGGTATGTATGTGTTGATACTTTCAGGTAACTCTGATTGATCCCTGGATAATCTCTATGTGCATGGGACTGCCACTTAGCGCTAAAGAGTTTGAGCATACCCACCACAAAATCTGTGACGGGGTGGGTTGCCTCGAAGTTGAGACGGACACGGTCAAGTTTAAGCATTGTGCAAAATGTAAGAAAGCATTTTACCATGCGAAGGAGTGCCAATCCAAAGCGTGGAGGGCTGGCCATAAGAAAGTTTGCACGTCGTCATAAGAAAGTAGTAATGCATGAATTCATGAGCATGTCTAGATAAATACATGCATATTTATCTCCAAATTTGGTGGAATACTATTATTTTGTAAATGATATAAATTACATATGTACTGAAATGCGCAATAAAACTTAGTATTTACATAAAACAGAACGAATCATAAACATTTATTAGCACTCTTCATAGAGTAATAGTTAGTAGTTCATGGAGAATGCAAAATTAATGTATATTTGACGTAAGGTACGTTCATAAAACACGTAACGGATCAGAGAGGAAGCGAGGTCTCGGGGTCACATGATAGCCTGCACTATGTACATGTTAATCAAGAAACAATTAGCCATCATTCTTTAATAACAGGATATCTTTACTGATTTAAAAATTATTTAAATGCTTATTGTCATATTGTTTTAATTTGGAATTAAATTGTTTTGCATAAATTCCAATGATCACATGGGGCCGGGCCTGGAAAACTTCCCAGGGCCGGGCCACGCAAGTTTGGGCACTGTCTACATAGATCCATAAGTAATTAAGAGGCAGTATAATTTCTGCAATTTTACATCTCTGATAGCATCTCCCTGTGAGGTTTATAGATAGAAGTAAACTTGACAATAACTTTGTGCTTTTAATACCGATAGTATGGATACCCTCTACTTGCGTATGCAAGATATGCCATACATAAGTACTTCAACAACTTACAATTAAACTTATGCAACCCATAAGAAACATGATGATTGAAATAAAAATTTGACCATTCGTAGTAATGACGTTGAAGGATGTGTTGCATCATAAAGGTTACAAATCATTCTGAGTATATTAAAACATGCAAATATCTCTTTTAAAGAAATGGATTCTGATTTATTTTTAAACCGACATCAATTTAATTTAACCACTTATTTAGACAACCAAACTGAATGAATCCCGATGGGAATTTCACAATCAAAATAAGCTCTGCCAACTTCCTTCAAATTTTTGGAATCTAACCAAACAACGAAATCCTTCTCATCCGTTTCCGTATAGTTTACCACTGTCACAACTATTAAACCGTCATCTTCAAGTGCTGAGTTAGGTTTGCCTATAAAAGTAGGTTCACCCACGTATTGATGTCCACCAGCGTCCCAAATAATATATTTCCTCGTGTGCAGGTCAAATTTTATGATTTTATTTTGATGCCGAGAAGCACAAAATGCTCCCGTGGCCCAGAAAAAGCGGAGCTGTTTTCCGTAAAATCGCTCATTCCAGGTTGGGAAATCCATCTTCAGGTCGGAAATGACTTCCGGTTCTAGAATAATTTTATCCCCGATCCGAACCGCTTTTCCGGTGGAATTAAGCTTAACCAAATTTTTGTTTTCGGGGAATTTTCCTATTTGGTCTTCTATCGTGTTTAAGGGGATGACATAACGGAGAAGGCGTGGACAATCGGGATCCTTCAGGACATTTCCGGTCCGAAGTTTGGTAACTAGTTGGATGTCCATAAATTGAATGTTTCGCATGCTAAAGAGGTCCACGATTAAATGGTTATTTTCTTCGTAACAATTTAAAATATGGAGGAAGAAGAAGGGATCTTTGGAAAATATTTCGGTCTTGACCACTTTGTGGGTGTTCTTGTCGAAAATGTCTGAAAATTTAGGTATTTACAAGTTTAATTGGTTGTGCAGAATATAAATATTTGCCTTTTGAAACAAGAGATATGTAATTAATTGTGATAGAATAAGTAAGTTTATTAAATATTAGAATGGCCGTGAGTTTTTAAGCCAGTTTTTGTCAGTTATTATTTTTCTGAAGATTTCTTAAACTTGAGATGAGATCTCCTGCTTCAAAAACTGTCAAAATTTGAGATGTGTTTTTTTAGAAATCGGCAACATTCTACTGTACATATTCGCTATGAAGAACTTAAAAAGTTCCTAGGGTCAAGAAATGATAAAAAATGTGACGATTTTGCAGATAAGTCATCGTGCTAAACAGAAAATATTTTCAGTGGCCGCGGAAGTTTGAGGAGAGAAGGACCGTGCCCTCAAGATAACTCGATGTCCCCATCATCTTCCCATGTTATATAAACCCATCCCTCCCCTATCCTGCAATATACTGTCCCAAGTTGCCCCTGCAGATTCCACGCCCCCTGACACCATTTAAATTTGCTGTTACTTACAAAATTGATTCTTCCTCTTGGGATACCAGTCCATCACTTCCCTCTGACAGAACCCTTTAAACACCAACTTGATCGCCTGGGCAGAATTGAAGTGGCAAGGTTCGTCAATCCAGAGTACGAAATTCTTCGACATTCCGAACGAATGGAGATAAGGAGCCTCGACTTTGTACCGGCATGGGTGCGACCCTATGATTTTCCCTTTTTTCAAACTCTCCTGCAGAGAACTTGACTTTAATTTAGGCGGATACTTGACAACCTTCCATTTGGTGGTAGGAATCATGTCAAGGCCAACGTTGTTTGTCTCTCCTGTTTCTGGGTCGGTCAATGGGTGTGACGATAAGGCGTAAAGGTTATCCTTAGCGGCGGAGTCGTACCCTGAATAAGTTTAACCGATTTTTAGTATGATGCACGTTTAAAAATCATGCTACCCTTTTGAAAAGTAAGGAAATGCACGTTAAGCTTGAAATTAAGTAACTGAACTAAATCTAGAGTACATAATGTTAACGTTTTACTTATTTGTAATTTAGAATTGAGAGTGCAATTACTTTTCAGAAGAGTAACATTATTTTTAAGAGTGTTGCGAAGATGCGTGTGAATTACGTGATACGGTGTGTAAAGTTTTGGGATCCACTTCGAACCTGTGTAGGAATGAAAGTATATTTTCATAAATTTCCCAAAATATTATTTAGATACACAATATCAATTATGAAATTGGTTTAATTGGGAAAATTAATGATACTATCTGTATATTAGGGGTATTCATCATTTTTTCGTATCCGCTTATCCTAAAATAAGTTACGACCGTTACTACAAGATTTGTAAGCGGAGAACGATTTGCTCATCAAAAATCGGTTGCAAAAATAAGCTTATGATTTCTACGAAATTTAACCCTTTATTTTTTAATCGTAAACTAACAATGGAGGTCTCCCAACGTATGCTTATAGATTTGGACCAAACTAGCGTCAATCGATCGCAAATATAATTAATAGAAAATTTGCAAATGGAACTATCTTCCAATGCTCAAGTTTAGCGGAGATATTTGCATAAAAAGAGAAGAAAATGCACCCCCAAGGCTGGCAAATTTTTCAATTTTCAAATTTACTGCGCATTTTTCCCGGTTTGGATGCGAATATCTCCGCTATACCTGCGCATTGGCAGATAGTTGCATTTGCAAATTTCCTACTAATTATATTTGTGATCGATTGACGCTAGTTTGGTCCAAATCTGTGAGCATACGTTGGGAGACCTCCATTGTAAGTATGTACTTTAAGAAACTTGCGTATTTTTCGTAAAAATTGAGTACATACATAAATCCCGCGTGGTTGGTCACAATTGGATTTCGACAGATATCCGAGGTGCAGATGTATTGACAATTATCGGTCGGCTTAGGGATCTGCATAGTTTTAAAGGGTCTAGTAAATTTTCGTAATATTTCGCAAACTTTTGCATTCTACTAATTTCTTCTATCTTACCATGGACGACACAATTTTTCCCAGGGCAGATTTAGCATCGGAGCCAGCCGTTCTGGTATAAAATTCTGAAATGATTGGCTTCTGTTCAGCTTCTGCTTTTTTGAATGCCTCCGACTGAAGAAATTTTGACGTGAAGGCCACACTTCCGGTCTTTCCTCCTACAACTTCAAACTTTGTGATCATCAGGTACCCGTCGTGGACGTGGTTCAGCCTGAATTTAGGATAATCCCACCTAATAAAATATCACTATTTTCATTTTATGCTCTAATAAAACTGGTATTAAATCTATTGGTAAAATAAAATTCGGAGTAAAGTTCCAATTCTACGACTTACTTTGCCGGACAACTTCGTAAAATTTGGCCTGTTGCCCATTCCGGAATTTCTCCAATTATTTTGGCCACCTCTGCTTTTCTAGTTTCCTTTAAGGATTTGAAAACCTTTACTTTGTTTCCTCTCGTTGCCATGGTTTCCATTTAAATAAATTGCTGTAAGTTCTCAATCTGTTTGTAAATTTTGTATTTAGCTAAAAGCCACTTTAACAAGAGAACAAATCTGTTGAAGCTTTGTAGATGTTACTTGATGCACTGCGAATTAATTACAACATTGGCGCAAATGTATATTCCTAAATTTTTCTCCACACTCTTAAAAATACTGTTACACTTTTGAAAAGTAAATAAATACACTTAATTATAAACTATCAATAGGTGAGCTGTACTAAATCCAGAGCAAACTTTACTCTTTACCAAGTTAACGTTAGACTTGGTTTAGTATAATTTACTTAATTTAGAAGAATTCAGACTGTATTTACTTTTGAGAAGGGTAACATCATTTTTGTGAGTGTAAATACATGGGAAGTGCAGTAATAAAGACACGCGTTTTGATACAGGAAAGCTTATGTGCATGTACAAGGTGCCTGAGTACAAATATCTGTTTAATTGATCCGGCATAAACTATGACGATAGCACGTGCGGAGCATTTAAAAAAATTGAATTTCTTCCTGTGCGCATTCAAAGATTTAGATCTTCATGTTTAGACGAAAATTGATTTTAAGCAATAATCTTTCATGCCCATGAAACACTAAAATGAGCAGTTAAACATAAGTAAATATGTATCTAGGAAAAGGATGTGATCCATCATTGCTGAATGCAGGATGAGTATATTTAGGATTTTATTTGATCATGCATAATTTACTTACCCACCATGGGCCAATGATTTAAAAAGTTGTGTACGTGGGCCATAATGGCCACGTACACAACTTTTTGTATTTATTCGTGCCATAAAATGGTTTGTTATGCATGTATTTATGATATGATTATTCAATTTTTTAATCAATTTTAGCAATTTTTTTTGTCATTATTTATTATTTGAAACGTATTGAAACTTGTATTTACAAACGAAAATGTTGTATTCATTTTGATATTATTGCGAAGTTGCGAAGTCAACCGGAAAGAATTTCCCACTTGATTAACATTGGAGGGGGCTTAAATTCAAATCACTGTAATAACAATGCGATATGTACATATGTATCTATGTGCAAACATGCGTATATATGAACATATTCCAATATTTAGACCAAAATTTCGTTTTTTTGGACACCCACCCACCCCCCTTTGAACGTGTGTCACATAAGCACGATATCATTGGGCCCTTACCACCCACCTACCCCTCTTTGAGTTATGAAGTTTCCGAACGTCCCCAAAGTGGTATCAGCTCGTTAGTATACTAAATATGCCATATTTTTAGCAGTGTGGGCAGGTGCATATTTCATGTAAACCTGAAACTAAGCGTGCCCTAACCCATTCCTAAATAGGAGTCAGTCAAATGAAGGTTTTCCATAAACTTATTATGTACCTTCTAGATAAAATTATAAAAAGTTGTGTCCAGAAATAAATCGACCCCTCATTTACATACCTCGCCCTTCTTGGAAAACTCGTGCACACAAATAGAAAAAAAGGTTTAGATGTATTTATGTGCTTACCTGAGAACGGCATGCATTATAAATGCTTAAAGTAATGTAGCCCGACCTGATTAACTCAAACGTATGTACATAAATAAATAATATTTATTGTGTGTATGTATGTATAATTAGGTGGGGACTTCTTAGCGATAGGCAAGGAATTTCTAAGCATTAAAGGACACAAGACGCATTAAAGACAAGTGAATAACCCTTAGATATATATATATATATATATATATATGTATATATACATATAGAATTGGGGAGCATGGCTCGAAAAATTTTAGTCAGTTAAGAAGTAGACAGCTATACGCAACCACCTCCAGTGTTTCGTGATCCACCACGTATCAAAGTAAAATTTTCTATTTGTACTAGAAATTTGAGAGGATATATATTTGCATACGCCGGGATACCTCCATTGTAAGTTATCCATAAATTATTCATTAGTTAAAAATCTTGCGTATGAAGGTTAGCCCCTTACTTTCAAAATTACTCCGCCTCTTGTAAAAAAATTCCTGATCGGATTTTAATAAATTTATTTGAAAAAACTTAACGCATTTAGTTACATAATTGTGATAAGTACTTATGTATTAGCACGCAAACCTTGCACCTGAATAAAATTCAACGAGTTGGGCCGACTCGGTTGGCATATGTTGTAATTTAATTTTTTACGTGCGTGTTATGTGCTTTAAATCTAAATATTTCAACTGGCTGAATTGCAAATTAATTTGCGAGCATTTATTACTCACAAATTCTAATACCGAATTATACTTGTAAACACATTTGTACATATTAATTTCTAAAATTTCAGAATTGGTCGGAATGGTTTCAAAATATTTGGTTATCCTTCTTCTCGTGGCATCCTCCACATTTGTGCATGCGAAGGTCGTCCTGGATAACGTGATATATGACGACCGAGCGGATTGCCGTCGGGACGGGTACGGCGTCACGGGCTGCTATGTGATGGGATACAACAGGGACGCCGCTTGTCGTGACAGTTTCCATGCGGGGTCAAAATTTGCAGGATATTTGGATGATAATGATGGCTGTTTTCTGACGCATAGGTTCTGTTGCAAGTCATAAAATGTGGAAGAAACGCTTCACAATAAAATTTTTAATTAATTATTAATTAAGTTAATTTTATTTTAACATTTGTATTTTGTCGATTACGACGCAAAATAAATTGGAATTGTTGTCAGAATATTTAAACTTAAATTTATGCAGTTTTTGAGCACTTTATAAAATCCGTAAACTTATATTTTTTTGTGGACAATTAAGCAGCTTGAAAATTTTTTCTAGTTTAAATAGTTCACTCTGATCAAGGGCATCTTTTCATTTGTAAAAGTTGGTCAACTAAATTTATAAGATTATCGTATTTTACAAAATTACAAAGGTCTGCGCGAATTGTGTAGTTGTTTTAAAATGTGGATTTAGTCTTCTGTGATATTTACATAAACAGAATAACTATTTAATTATGCTACATTGATCAGTACACGTTTTCCTTGACATGCATGATTATGCGTAAATAATCTAAACAAATCCTTAAACAAACGGTAAAACTTAAAGTATGTATGTGTTTTACCATCATTCCTGAAATGATTAAATATTTAAATGATTGAGCTACCGTAGCTCAATCATTTATTGGTAGCTCAACTACCAATTAGTTTAATGACCCATTGGTAGCATCCCACAAGAAAGAATGTCATCGCCCAGTACAAATGATCGGTTGCCATTTATGCATGAATAAACTATTAATTAAGCTATTTCGTGCAAGAAAAAAATTACGGCTAATCACGCTGAGTAAATGAATTAATTGGTCGTATTAATGATGCCCTCCCTCATCAGTTTAACGAGGGTATCCACATTTAAATGCATGCACATACATACTTAAAGAACGTCCGGGAATGAATGGGAATGGTCTGAAAATGTGGTCATAAAATCACAATGAGTTATCGGAATTTTAAACTTTTTGCATATGTATAATACCAAATACGTACCTACATAATTTAGTTAATAGCTAAGGCCGCCACACCCCCGTTGGCGACTAGTTCGATTTTCTTGCGAAGATTTTTCATTAAATTTTTTCCCGAAGTTTTTGCCACTTCCGAGGTGATTTTCTTCCATCGTCCTTTGAATTTTCGAAAGGTGTCAGGCACATCTTGAAGCCGGGAGTATACTGACTTAGAACGTGCCCAGAATTTTTCGATTGGACGGAGTTGGGGTACATTAGGTGGGTTGATATCTTTTGGTACGAAATCAATATTTTTCTTTCTGAGGTACTCGGTCACTTTCTTTGCATAGTGACAAGTGGCGAGGTCAGGCCAAAACAAAACTTTATCATTTTTGTGAAACCTATTAATAAATGCTTCCAATCCAGCCTTGACGCAATTTTTCAGATAAATATCTTGATTGATATTCCCTTCGAGAACTACCGGGTCTGATACATGTCCGTGACTGGAGATGCATTGTCAAATGCAATATTTCTTTGGAAATTTGTCTTTTTTTCGTACTTTTTCTTCATAAGCCACTTCAGAGGGATCCGAGCTATGAAAAAAATGACGCCCTGGAAGATTTGAAGGGTCAACCGGAACATACGTTTCGTCATCCAGGATCACTACTTTTCCACGCATTTTCTTCAACAATTTTTGACAGCAATCCTTGATCCGACTTTCTTGTACGGGCTTGTAATTTGGTGCAGGTTTTTTGGTCCTTGCTTTGATTCCTAATTTATGGACCTTAATTTCCCCCAGGTAGCTTTTGGAAATTTTGACTTTCCTGGCAGCTACAGCTACTGACGTTGATGGCTTGGTTTTGAAAATTTTTTCAATTCTATTTTTCACTCGAGTGGTCGCTAGCTTCGCCGGACGACCAGCTGGCTTCTTGAATTGCACATTTTCGGAATCCTTGAACTTTTTTATGTAGGAATACACATTTGAACTTGGAATTCCTTCCTGCTTAAAAAAGTTCCAGGTCACCTTGGAGTCTCGGTTGGCTGTCGTGTTGTAGAACTCCATCACTCGTTTTGCTAACAGCTCCCTTTCAAACAAGCTTCTTCTACCCTTATCCATTTTTGAAATTTAAGAGTGATATACCAAATTGACCCTAATGAAGTGGGCTTTCAGAAATTTAAATTATTATAGTTCGCGGGTTTATTGATTTGTCAATATACTCGCTAGAGCGCGCATTCCCATTCATTCCCGGACGTTCTTTACGTACATTAGTTGTCTTAAAGCTATTCACAATACTTATTTGTACCTTGAATTCTCTGCGGTGAGAGTAATGCTTTCGTAGTAATTAAAAATAATGCTGTGTAAATACAGGGCGTTACACCCGTCAGGAGCAAACATGCCCTGACTTGTTAGGTTTATCTACGTCAATCTTCCTATTAGGGATACACACTCTTAAAAAATGTTACCTTTTGCAAAATAGATCCACTTTTATATAATTCTGCATTAAGGAAACTATACAAAATCAAGATCAAATTTTACTCTTTATTAGGCTAACCTTAGTCTGGATTTATGCACATAGTTTAGTTAATATAGAATTTAAAGTTCATTTACATACGTACTTTTCAAAAGAATAACATTATTTCTAAAACTGTTATTTTGGGTTTATTGTGTGTAACGACCGATTCAATCTATTGTGCAGCGTAATCGGTTTGTCTTTAATGACACCTGTCTCCTGTTGTGCATATGTAGTTGTAAATATTTAATTTACTTGGTGGTTATGGCGATGAACCTTTTTACCTTCCATAACACGGAATACAAATATATTGCCTGTGTTAGGTGTTCAGTCTGCTATTGGAGGAGCGTTAGACACATGAGGAATTAAAGATATTGCATTTTTTGTAAAATTCCTGACATTTAGTAAACCTTATAAAAATGTCTTTGAAAATGCCAAACTTTCAAGGTGCCCCCATAATTTTAGGGACGCATCGCCTCTTCACTCAAACAGTGGTCGATTCAGTGTACAATTTAAGGGCTGCCGACTTTTATGGATATTCGGGCCCCATGCTCGAGAGGAATTCAACTCTGCCAGGGATTGCCAAAATTGCGGCAGAATTTTCAAAATTTTGTAATTTTACCCCCATTGTTAAAGAACTTGATGAATTAGGAAAATCTGAAAATTTTACTGGGGCCGTGATACCGTTCGTGGTTGGAAGTGTTGTCTCAAAAACGAAGAATTGTTGCGGGGGGCATATTGAGACTAGTGTTTCCCTCTCGTTTTATCACGAATTTAATTTCGCGTATTGCGATTTCAACCGGGAAATTGTGCCGAATGATGTGTCTTTGTTGTTATATCCGATGGATTCGATGACTTGGATATTTCTGCTAGTTTCTTCAATGTTACTTTGTATTTATTTCATTGTTGGGGGGAAACTGAGAAAGGGGTGGGAAGATAAAAGTGGCGCTATCTTTTCAGTTTTTGCCACGTACCTTTTATTTAATTGGAAAACCAGGACTACAAATAATTCGGGTCTTTTAATCCTCTGGAGTTTTGTGTTTATCGTGTTGAATAATTGTTACAGTGGAGTGCTAACGAGCTTGCTAGTAGCACCGTTGCAGCTGGACGTTATCACTGGAGTAAAGGGGCTAGTTGAGAAAAAGTATAATTTGACGTTTGGAACGTTCGGAGCTTTCAGTTATGTTTTAATTTTGGTGGGAAATTTGCTAGAGTCGCAGAAAGTGTAAGTGGTAAAGATATTTAGCAGAGATACGCATGTGATTAATTGACAGTGATTATCGGATTAAGGATTAATAATCATTAATTCCAAAAAATAGTTTAATGCAATTAATTCTTAATAATCAATCCGGACTAGGGCTGCCAAATCCGTTCCAAATTTTCAAATCCGGATTTCGGATTATCCGGTTTCGTCTGAGCCCAAATCCGGATTTGAATTATTTATTGTTATTATCAAGGTCCTTAATAATTGAACGAGTTTGATAGATGTCGAATACATTTTTATAATCTTCAATCGAAATATAAGCTTTTTTGAAATTTTCATCATGGTTTAAAATTTTTTGACCATATGTAGTTTATTGGTATATTTTTAAGTTGAGGGACTAAAAAATGTGAAATTTCATAAAAGGTGAGGTTGATGTAGAATATGGTAAAATAACTACCTGGGATGAATAACATGAACAAACATTTTTTTAAACACTTTTCCCAACAATTTGTATCTTTGCAATGCACATGAAAATTAGTTTTTAAATTCAGAAAATCCGGATTCATTCCAAAATGAAATCCGGATTTCGGATAATTCGAAATCCGAAAAATCCGGATTTTTCGAATTAGAAGTATCCGGATTTGGCAGCCCTAATCCAAACGAAATTGAATAACTTGATTAATATGCTAGTAATTTAATTAAGGAATAAAAGTTTAATTCTTAATCATTAATCCCTGCGAAATTGAATTACTTTATTAATCCAACGATAATCTAATCTCGGATTAATATTAATCCTTAATCCCAGAAGAATTCCAGCAATGACGTATGTATATATCTGCAGAAGATAGTTAACAGTATTTTGGCGGGACCTGTAAATTCAAATTTTTCGGTGTATTTTTTACAGAAATTCAGACAACTCTTCCCTCCCGGGACTCACATTATCAACCGCGTTGAAGCTCCCCACGTTACCCGAATTCATAGAAACGGTGGCATTTACGCCAAAAACAGCAACGTTCGGACCCTGGGAATATTCTTCACAACTTTGGAACACTCTTCAAAATCGGAATGACGAATACAACGCAAGAACCAAGCATAAATCGAAGCAAAGGTCATGCCACATTGGGAGGGAGTTGAGTTCACAGGATGCAAACCCGACCTTCTGGATTTTCAAATTTCCCGGGAAAGAAACTACCTCCCGGGTGTCACATGCCTTCAATAGAATGCACTCCAGTGGGATCCACGATTATTGGATGAACGTGTTCTTTTGGATGCAGGCATCCCCACGTGCGCAGGATGTCAATAAGTATAAATCAATTTCAGAAGTTAAATCCACCACGGGGGGTAAAGTGTGGCCCTTAGGGTTTGACAGGGGTTCGGTCTCCGTCGTTTTCAGAATCTATTTGATTTGCATTGCTGGATCAGGACTAGTGTTTGGGTTAGAGTTTGTTAAATTTAGTTGGATAATTACTACAAGAATTTACAAATTGTTTACTATTTAAATAGTTTTATCACTTCAAAACGTGACCCTAGTATCAAACGTTACAAACGCGGCAACAAATTTTATAATTTCCCAAACGTAACCACTAATTTTTCTAAAAATGTTGTAAGACATTCCTCATTTTCTTTTAGGCCTTGATAATGAATGGCAGATAGGATTTGAAATAATGACGAATAAAGCAAAATTTTTCTAAGTTTTTTCCACTAAAACTCCGTGTAATCCAATATTACTAAATATTATTATGTAATTTGTCAATTTTTTAATGGAAATGAAGACAGAGCACAAATGCGTGGTGGTAACAGTAGTTAAAACCGGGATCTAGGGCGGCTCATAAATTATGCTTGGCGATGGGGGGAGGGCGCTGTAAGACAGCAATGGTATCGTGTCTATGTTACACATGCTAAAAGGCGAGGGGGGTCTAAAAAGTCGCAAATTTTTGCATGATAATTAATGGACATCCCCTCTGCAAAATTTCAAGTTGACGTCCGATCAACTCCTGTAAAGCTCAGCTTTACAACATTTCGCACATGACGGATATTTATATAAACCCTGCCTTGACTCTGGTTTAAAAAGAGTTTCTAATTATTGAATTTGTTTGCTTGTTTACTAATAGTTTCATGCAAAATAATTTTTATTCTTGTAATTTCATATTAATCAAGTTCATTTTTATTCAATTAATCGGGCGAAATTAATACTCCCGGCGTATAACTCGATCCCACGCTCGCAAACTTCCTATATTATTAATATTTGAAGGGTACGAAGGCGGGAATCAAATTTTGATAAAAGTTATATAAACTTGACGCCGATAGTAATATAAATAATGAGAAACCTGGACGAGTTACATACATACATTACGAAATTTGTTTACAGTACGGATATTTCTTCGTACGTATAATTTCAACCCGATCGTTGTATGTATTATTTATTAACTTTTAATTTTTAAGTAACTTTGCAAAAAAAACGTTCAAGATTTAGGAAGCATCATCCTCTGTAGGTTGTGGTTCGTGGGACTTTTCCAAATCGCAGATAGAATTCCCCCCTTGAAACATCTTAAACTTCGACACGTCCATTTTGTTTGATTCCAGGAAATTTAGTATATTCGAAAGAGATTCTTTGCAGAACTGGAAACAATAAATATATAAAATAGAAGAAATAAATATTATTTCGTAAGCAGTATTAATAAAATATTTAGTTGCCTATGCCAATTGCCTAATATGTGCAACTAGGGATGTGTCATGTCCGAAATGTCCAATTTGTCGTAAATGACAAATTGCACATTTCGGAAAGTTTTGTAAAACTTTTCCGAAAACTTACAAATATGACAAGTTCAAATTTTCATAAATATCTAATTTGCATACGTCGGATATGAATGAAAAATGACTTTTCCCATTTATTGACCTACAGTCGCCAAACTTTCTGAGAATGTTTATGGTCACTAGTAGGTCACGTAGGTCAAAGCATATTTTCTCATATTGGTCATATTTTCGGGTTTTGGGACATATTCATATTCCCGATCATATTTCGGGTTTTTTTCGTTCATTTTATCATTTTTGGCAAAATTCTAAGATTTGGCGACCAAATCGACAGAAAATGACAGAAAATTCAGTTTTCTCACAATGATTCATTGTGAGTAACTTTACGTTTGCAGAAATTTACGTTTGCTTTCGCCTCAGGTGATTTAATTCATTGGGAATGCATTAAATCACCCAGAACTTGTTTATTTAATAAAAAATGAGCATTACAAGAAAATATATCAAAAAATTAAGCCAAAAATTTAAAAAATAAAGTCATTTTGATGGTCATATTTTGGGGATTTTTACGGTCATATTTCATTCATATTTTGAGGTTTTATCGGTCATTCATATCCGACGTCTGCTAATTTGTCCGTCATATCTCGGCCACAATGTACATGGATGGTCAAATTGACCAATAAGACATACGAATATGTGTGCAGTGGCCGCGGAGGCGTGGGGACATGGGGACAATGTCCCCACGGAAATTTTGCCGTGGGGACAGTCAATGCATTTGTCCCCACGGTCTCGGGGGGGTCAAGTACAAAGTAAGGGACAATCACTACCGTATGTTTGAGTCCAGGGTACCCACTATGTTTTTTTGAATCTACTACGACCCCAGATGAAGGATTCATTCATATTTCCGAGTTAAACTCATGTTTGGCGCTGTGGCGTGGCACCAAAATTAAAACTATGCATTTTCGACCAACTGCATACGTCTAATCAAGATTTATGTGGCATTCTCAAACTTTTGTGCTTAAAATGTTCACAAAAGTCGAAATTTTAGGGGAAAAAATCAAAAAGCAAAATTTTAAAATTTTAGAGACAGTTTTATGATTTTTTCAACGAACCCCTATGTTCAATCAAATGCAAATTGCATTTTGAAAGAAATTTAAACACCTAATTTTTTGAAAAATTTCATTACATACGAAAGTTGAACTCCTTGTCATAATTTTTAAAAATTATGAAAATCCGTTCAGGATTTCAAAAGTTATGGCGGTTTTGAAATTAAACAACATTAAATTTGGCGAATTTGGCGCCACGGCACGCGTCAAATGTGAGTTTAACACGGAAATATGAATGGTTCCTTCATCTGGGGTCGTAGTAGATTAAAAAAAACATAGTGGGTACCCTGGACTCAAACAACAGGTAGTGAGTGTCCTTCGTCAGTACTATCTAGAATTTAGGGGTACATTTGAAAAGTCAAGATATCGAACGGATCGATTTAAATGTACCATTGCTTAAAGATGTTATCATAGGGAAATGGCGAAAATTGACCACAATGTTACCAAAACCTAGTGGAGTCAAGACCCCATTGGAAATTAAATTTTGTCTGTATACCAGTTAGAATCGGTCCCATTGGTCTGAAATTTTACAAATATGGGGAAACATGCATGATGAATAAATGGTCAAAAAATATACTGAAATTCGAAATAGAATATGAGTCATTACACAGGGCCCGTGAGAGGGGCGGGAAAGCCGGGGCGCTGAGGCGCCGAGGGGCGCCGCCGAAAATGTAAATTGTTAAGCGATTTCTTACTCAATAGATAAAACCGGATTTTATGAGAGGCTTGAAGTGTATCTACTAATATTTGAATATTCTACTGTATGGAGTCTGTAATTCCCAGATCCCGTTGAGTAGAGCAAAACACCAAGTTTTTTCTAGCAGAGGCCAACGCCGTCCAATTTGGCTCAGCCGGCGGCACCGATTTTGTATGATTGCTCGGAGCCGCAGCGCTGCAACAAAGTTGTAGGACTAGGAAGTCAGATTTACTGGCGGCAACGGTCCTTTAAGTACTACCGAGGGCGCGTCGTAGAACAATATCCGGCGTTGACCTCTGTTTTGTAGGTTCAAGTTCTGAGGGGCTGTTGCTTATTATCATATCCTAGAAAAATCCTAAAGGTTGTTAGGGATTTTGTTTTTGTTGAACTTTTTTGAAAAGATACTAATGGAAATTGAAACAAACTTTTAATCTTCATTTCAAAACAAGTCAATAAGAATTAAATTTTCGGATTCATTGGAACTTTAGTACAATTTCATCTACGTATGTATGTATATGAATTTGTCATACTAATCATTAACATCCTTCGGTCGCAGTTGGTCTCCATGTTAAAAATGAACTTTTGACTTGGTACAAATCATGTGTGGAAAGTATGAACATTAAATGCTGAATCTAAATATTGAATCAGGGTTGCTCAGATACTTAATTTCGATTTGTTTCAACCCGCCCAAAAAACTCGAAAAAACCTCCCAAATCCACGAAAGTCACGAAAAACCAGAGTTCGGTATTTCTAGCTAAAAGACCCGGGTTTTCTATAATTTTGCTTTAGGCATGAGACAAAAATCACTTTTGTGTATGAAGGCGCATAAGTCAAAGTTCAAATTAATTTTCCCAATGACAATTAAAGTCTTTCACATGTAAAACTCAGATTTAGATGGAATTGTTCACTTGTGATTTTTTGAAATATGTTAATAAAATGTTATTTTTTTTAGATAGATAGATAGATTTATTTATTTCTCATCTGATATGGCCGAGGCCCTCATCATTACAAATTACAGAGTTGTACATATGTGCAAATGTAGATAACCAAATAGGTAGGTAGTCAGAGGAATGGAGGAAAAACCTAACTATGGTGGAGAGTTAGGAAAACCTCCATCACCTCTGGGAATGTGGCCCAGAGGTCCATTCGGCTCTGACTACCTGGACACCAGATAGGACAATGAATGATAGAGATCATAGGTAGATTCCATGAGATAGTGGTGATATCCAAATGAGGACGGCGTCGTGACGGCGGAAGCATGATGAGTGAAGGTTGTTGGGCGGGGCGTCCACGGACCACGAACTACCTTAGCACCCTCTCGGGCACGGGCTACGTGTCCCCTTCACGGTCACACAGTGTGACCAGGGCCGAGTGACACTACCCACTTGCCCCTTCACCCCTCACAGCACAACCGGGTCATGGGACCCCCGTAGGCCCGACTACGCTGCCCACCGCCATGCACGACCCCGTCCTCACTCTTCCACCAACCACCCCCCACAGTCACCACCCCGACATACCAAACAATGACCTACCTGGGGGAGTCCTCCATGGCGTAGATCCTCCCGTGCACTGGGTCCGGCGAATCCATCTTCGCCTGATGGCTCAGCTTGTCGTTGCTGGGACGGGTGTGGCAGGGGGTGTCACCAGGCACGCAGGTGGGGGGTGTGAGTGGACGAGGCTCACATGGCGAAAAGCCTGGGACACACTTCACTTGCCCTGGCACACCCGCGACCCAGATGGAAGAGAGAGAATCCAGTTGCAGAGCGAGAGAGAGACACGTCGTGCACGGTTGGAAGCCAAGGAGGATCTCCTCATAAAATGTTATTAATTTGATTGCGAGGCACGGATTTTAATGTCGAAATCTCGGGTTGTCATTAAACTTCGGACCCTATAGAATTTTATCTCGAATTCAAAAATTCGAAAATTTTCCTTCAGAGGGTCTTACCAAACCAAAGCTATTAAAAATCTAGTCTTAGGGAAATTATAATTTCAAGACTTTTTCGTCGGTTTCTAAAATCAATAAAAATGATTTTCGGTCAACCTTTAAATTTTTAAAAATATTTCTAGTGGATTTTTAATAAATGAAGCAAATCATTGCCAAGGAACATATTTTTGAATGTTTGAATTCGAAAAGTTCCAGGATTTTAAAGACCCGTGGTATTAGCTGGAAAACAATTCCTTCCTCGCTTTAATACTGGCGCATTCTGAACAACAATAACAATATGGCCCATATTGTTTAAGCACATACCGCTTATGGACTTTAATTTAATTTATGGACTGAGGAAGGACTGAGGAAGGCTGTATGCAATAAATTAGTCGCTAATCTGGAAAATGAAAGCAACTAACCCTCAGTAAATTGTAAAATCAAAAAGCGGTTTTTCGACTTTTTTTCAACAAGTATGTGCCCACGGTCAAAATCATCTTCCGCGGCCACTGTATGTGTGTATAACTCACAAAAAGGTCGGAAATATCGACCCAATCCATTCCATCCATCGCGATGAGCAATTGTTTAAACAGATCCAGCTCGTCCTCGGACAACTCTTGTACCCCATAATTCTCAAAGTGTGACGAAATTCGCAGAGTTTTCAGCCCTACAAAAGGTCACATGTTGTAGACATAAAAATTGTATCACAAATTTCCAAAATGACAATTAAAAAATAAATAAAAAAATAAAATAAAATAAAATAAAATAAAATCAGGTTGCAATTTTTTCAACTATAATTTACCTTTAAACACCTCCCTAGCATCGAGCAGGGAAGGTCTGAATGGTATCCTTAATCTGCCCTGGATAATAGGGTACGACGACACACAAATTTCTCAGATTTTTCCCCCAAACCCCACAAGCTTTCAGCACGACGCCCAACTCCATCCCGCTCTCCTCCTCGCTCGAGTCCATTTCTTCGCTCATGATTACCAACAACTCCACCAAGTTCGGAAATGCTGTCTTCAATCCGTCCAAAATTTTGGGATCATGCATTCCTGAAATCCTTAATTAAATTAGGGGGTGGTCCCAGACCCTAAAAAGTATATATATTCTGAATCCACTGGCCGAAAGCTTCCAAACGATACCCCAATTTTGGGGTGTTGTGAGACTTAAAATTGTCATCCAAAATTTTTCTAAGTAATTTTTTTGAAATTTTGTTTTTCGAATCTCAGAAAACGCTCGATTCGGGTTGTAGAGAAAAAAATTAGGAAACTTTTGGCGCAAGTAGCATCTCGATATCTTTTTCCATCATTGAGAAATCCGTGTCCCCGTTTGCAGTTTTTGCGACTTTCGGCCCCTCCCCCCGGGGAAAGGGGCGGGGTTGAACCAAAGTATTGATACCGTTGCACTCACAAAAATCACCTCTACAAACGGTGCAAATCTTATCAAAATCAAATTTTTTTGTCTTTCGAAATTCCGGTTTACATTATTGCTACTCTATGACCATTTTCTGCTTTGCATTTGCATATTGAATAAACTTTTTGTCTCTCCTGAATGCGTCAAAATATGTACATAAAAATATGTACGCAAATGGAGTGACTATTGGCACAAATTATTCCACTAATGTATCGTGTACAAAGATCTGCAAAATTTCAAGTCGATCGGATAACTTTTGCGACATTTATCGCCAGACAGATCGACAGACATGACGACATATAAATATGTAAGCCCTGACCCGGATTAAAAATCAGTTTTTAATTAGGGAACATACATAATTTGTATCACGCAAAAATTGGTAATTCCTAGACCTTTAAGATGTCTCGCAAAGGGAAGATATCATTGGAGCCTTGACCCCCCTCCCTATGCTTTAATTTGTTTTAGTTAATTTTAATTAATCCCCATGACATAATTTATGACCGGTCCCTTGTTTAATATGCTTAGTTGAATTTACCAATAATTGTATGCAATATAATAGGTATTGTAATTAAGTATTAATCAAGTTCATATTTATTTTATTAATGGGCTGAAATTATGAGAAACCTGGAAGTATTACATACATACATATGTATGCAGATTTACAAAATTTTTGTATGGTAGGAATATTTTTATGTAGGTATTTACATATGTATATAATTTCAAGCTAATCTACATATGTATCAATTATTAACTTTTAATTTTTAACTAACTTTGCTTACAAACAAATCCAAACATAAGTTCAAAATTTAGTAAAAATCATCCTCTGCTTCAGATCGTTCGGGCGAGTCTTCCGAATCGCTGACAGATTTCTCCTCTTGAAACATCTTAAACTTTGACACGTTCATTTTGTTTGTTTCCAGGAAATGCAGTATATTCCTTAGAGATTCTTCGCAAAACTGGAAACAATATATAAAATAGCAGAAATATGAAATATATTAAAATTATTTAGTAGTATTAGTAAAATATTTAAGTCGAAATTATCCCAATACTTTCAATAATACTTACAAAAAGATCGGAAATTGTGACCGCATCCATTCCATCCATTGCGATCAGTAATTTCTTCAACAGATCCAGCTCGTTTTCGGTCAACTCGTGTATCTCATAATTTTCACAGTTTGTCAAAATCCTCAAAGTTTTTAGCCCTAAAAAACGTCATATGTATGTAAATATTTATAAGAAAATATGAGACAAATTTTCGAAAGGACGAATAAAAAATAAAGTCAGCCTGAAACTTAGGAAATTTTCCTTAGCAAATTTTCGTATGCAAGTACATCATTCACCTTTAAAAACCCCCTTCGCCTCAGCATCGAGTAAAGCCTGAATGATATCCATGATCTGTTTCGGATAAGATGGCACAACGATTTCCAAATGTTTCAGGGTCCCCCAATCCCCACAAGCTTTCAGCACGACGCCCAACTCCATCCCGCTCACCTCTCCTCGCGAGTCCATTTCTTCACTAGTGGTCACAATCAACTCTCTCAAGTTCGGAAATGCCGTCTTCAACCCCTCCAAAAGTCTGGGATCGTGCATTTCGGAAATCTTCAACTTAATTACACTACTCAAAATGGTTTTCTTTTCATACATAATTTCTAAAGTTTCTTCGACACATCTCGATCCCAAAAATATTGTTCCAACTGCGAAGTACTTGAGAGCCGGGAGTCCTTCGATGTCTTGAAGGAGATCCCGCGTTGAAAAATGTCGATCATGTCGTTCTGGAAGGACACCAGTTTCGACATATTTCTCGGCAAACGAAATCTGGCCGTGGGCAAGGAGTTTTTGAAATCCAGCCTGTTCGACACTCCTTCAATGTCGGCATGTTCAAACTGTAAGGTGACGAGTTGGTCACCCACCTGACCCAACATTCGGGAGAGCTCGGGGAGATTAAATTCCGTCAGGGCGACGACCATTGGTCGAACTTCATTCAGTGTAATAGCCAAGTTATCGAGACACTTGGAATTTCCAAGATCTGGATAGAATCCCCACGGAATTCTGACCTTTTTCAAGTTTGGCGAGGCATCCATGACCAGCTGGATAAGCGTGGTGAGCGACGGGGTCACGTTTTTCACACAATAGACTGTGAACCAGGTCAAATTTGGTTTTATCTGTAACGGCGCTGGTAGAATTTCTGCATCGATGTCGGATTCATACTCGTCGCGGAAGTGAACGATATGTACCTGCTTTAAATTGGGGCAGTAATTTTTCAAAATTTGAAAAATAACTTGTAAACAGTCTTCAAACTCGATGAAAATATCTAGAATTTGAACCCGGTCGCTAAATTTGTCACAAATATGCATAATCCTGTAGGTGAAGGGATTAATGCTGTGAGAGGGGGTGCATTTGATAACGGTGGGACACGTGGCGCTGACACGTTTCGCGAGTCGGTCATCGGATGGGGAGCACATGGCGAAAAATGGGAGTGCGTTGTTTTCCTCGTAGATCTTGTAGTCAAGGTTTAACGCGAGCCTGGTATTTGGCAGGTGGAGGACGATTTCATTCCAAAAGTGGCTAACTAGTCGACAACTCCGCAACGGGGCCGAGCTCTGTTTTAATATTTGAGTCAAAATCTGGAAAAGAGGGTCAATTTTAGTAAAAATTTGTGCAGTTTGAAATGTTTTTTCTGGCTTATTTACAATAGGATTACTGAGGGCGACCTCTTGCACACTTTGAGATTCCATTCTTCAGTTATGTAAATAGTTGGAAAGACAAATGTCGACCTGTTGAGAGTAAGAATATTTAGAATCGACATCGGTTCATGACTAATTTATAATTTTAAACTTGAAATTAAGTACTTCAAAATATATTAGTGAGTGATAGATAATTGAACCAATGTTAGCCCCAAACTTACCCTGGGGGAGGTACAACACATGGGGGCGTATTGTATTTAGATGCTGAAACGAAAATTGAAAATATTATTGCCAAAAGTTGTGATTTGTTAATTGCAAATTTATAACTTCACTAATACGTGTTCGGAAACCACATACCTTTCCGTTCAAGTTTATGAATATTCAGTTTTACTTTATTTTATTTAAATAAGGGCAAATAAAGATGTAAAATTTCTAGTTGGAAATAAATATGTATGCAATTTTTGGTGTTTATTGAACAGCAGGAGAGCACATGACAAATCCCGGGGAGCTTCGCAGTAAAAAATTCATGTATTGTGGGAACCTGCAGAAAGTACGTGGTCAATTTGTATTTATGTAGATTTCGAAAATTCGTCCTTTCACAATCCATTTTATGGAAGGCTTATCGAAACGGTCAACATTATCAGAAATCTGCCGCGTGAAGCATGCATGGTCCTTGACCTTTTCATATCTTTGTGCATGTAATAGAGGTGAGCTGGATATCCGTTTTTTTATAATCCATGGCCCGATCCAATCCAGTCCAATCGGATTTGGATGGATCTGATCTGAAATTTTTTGGGTGAATTGGATTTGGGTGAATCGGATCTGGGTGAATTGGATTTGGTCGGATTGGATAAATTTCGTCACCATAAAGCATATAGAGAAGTGTACTTTTTAACACTCCTACAACACTAACTGGGCCATACTTTTCTTGAATGGCACACACAGTGACACATATATTGTCCAATTAGATTTATCCCGAACACTATGGTCCAGGAAGTATCATTAAAGACATTTTTATGTAAGAAATGCATGTAAAAATGTCTCTAATTTAAATGCCTCCATCATAGCCATGAGTGTATACGTATAATTTTTTGGATAATCCATGACCCGATCCGATAAAACTGGTTTTGGATGGATTGGATCTGAAATTTTTTGGGTGAATTGGATTTGGATGGATTGGATCTGAAATTTTTGGATGCATTGGATTTGGATGAATTGGAACTGAAATTTTTTGGGTGAAATGGATTTGGATGGATTGGATCTGAAATTTTTGGATGCATTGGATTTGGATGAATTGGAACTGAAATTTTTTGGGTGAAATGGATTTGGATGGATTGGATCTGAAATTTTTGGATGCATTGGATTTGGATGAATTGGAACTGAAATTTTTTGGGTGAAATGGATTTGGATGGATTGGATCTGAAATTTTTGGATGCATTGGATTTGGATGAATTGGAACTGAAATTTTTTGGGTGAAATGGATTTGGATGGATTGGATCTGAAATTTTTGGATGCATTGGATTTGGATGAATTGGAACTGAAATTTTTTGGGTGAAATGGATTTGGATGGATTGGATCTGAAATTTTTGGATGCATTGGATTTGGATGAATTGGAACTGAAATTTTTTGGGTGAAATGGATTTGGATGGATTGGATCTGAAATTTTTGGATGCATTGGATTTGGATGAATTGGAACTGAAATTTTTTGGGTGAAATGGATTTGGATGGATTGGATCTGAAATTTTTGGATGCATTGGATTTGGATGAATTGGAACTGAAATTTTTTGGGTGAAATGGATTTGGATGGATTGGATCTGAAATTTTTGGATGCATCGGATTTGGATGGATTGGATTTGATTTTTTTTGGGATAAATGGATTTGGATGGATCTCAAAAAATCACGATCCAGCTCACCTCTTGCATGTATACTTTTCTCTTCTGTACGTATGTATGCGTGCATATTTTGTAAAAATCGAATTCGTGATCACAATTCATTCCGAGTACATTTAAATACTTTTCCAAAATGGTACGATTTTTAAGTGAAAGGTGGAAATATTTATGTATACAACAAAGATTTTAATGATTTTATTACCAGATTATCTATCCTGAGTGTATAAACATGTAGGGTGGGAACCTGCATAAAGAACGGGGTCGATTTTGATATATACATATTAAAGGCTATAGGGTCTTGTATATAGATTTCGAGCCTTCCTATCCTTGCAATTTAATAATAACTTATCTCAGGAGTCCAAATCATAATAATTCTCCCCCGTGAAGTATGCATGTTCCATGGTGTTTTCATGTCTTTGTGCATAAAGCTTTCGCTAGTAAATACGTGCATGAGTATATACGGGATTGCATGCTTGCAGTTCAATTAATTTGATAAGCATGGTTATCAAATTCGTGAACACAATTTATGCTCAGAAAACTGTGCTCAGAAAACTCTTAAAAACAATGCCATCCTTTTGAGAATTAAATGCGCTCAGAATTATAAATTATGTAAACTATGCTAAATCCAGAATAAATTTTACCCTTTATCAAATTAACGTTAGATTTGACATTTAAAAAAATTAAAGAAACGAATTTTAATGATTTTATTGCCAAATTATTTTGAGTGGATATACATACATACATATGTACTAAAATGGCAATTATGAAATATATGTATTTACACACCGACGAAAAAAAAATATCCCAACTCGAGCCACATAAATATCAAGTCTGCAAATATTGTAAATTACAACACGTGCTTCATCGTCCACGTGGACCGCTTCCCCTTTTCCGGGTGGGACGTCGTGTTCACTCCGATCATTCGAAATCCTAAAAATAGATATCTTAAATTCGTACAAATTATAAACTTTATAAAATTATATCGAAGCAATTCACGTAGGGTTTTGTAAATTGCAAAATTATGTATGTACCTAAGTTACTTTCGAATAGTTACTTTTGTAAACTAATTTTGCAAACTTTTTCAAAATCAAGAGGATTTATGTAAGTAAGTTTATAAAAACTAGTAAGCTAATTTTCCTTCCAAATATTCGTAAAATTTTGTGACTTTGTGTAGAGGATTTACTGATTTTACAATTTCGTTGATTTGCATCCATACAATAAATATGTATATAAAACGGTTGGAATTTCTGTAAAATTTCCTTACCAAGAAAGTCCAATATTTCGAAATAAGAGTCGACCACGGGACGAATGTCGTCATGGCTGCGGAAGTCCCCACCCAGAAACTTTGGCTCCTCGCCCGGCCCGATGGTGACCGTGGTGCAGAAAATGACATCCGTTTTCCACGCTTTGGAGGTCACGTGCTCCTGGAAATGCTTCACTTGCATGTGGTCCAAACCGTCGATCGTGACCAGCCAACCCCGTCCGGCTGGAGTGTCCTCGTAATCCAGACTGGAATAACGAATTAAATCAAATATTAGATTAAATTATTTAATTGATTGGTTATAAATAGTTTAAAATTTCTTAAAATGCTTTAAAATCGGAGCAAACTTACTTGACGACGCAGAGTTGTGACATTATGTATGTGCTTTGGAATAAAGTTTCAAACTTGTCGTGAACTTGTAAAACTTGGTTAGAAAAAACGTGTCAAAATTTTGATTCTTATAAGTTTTTATTGGCTAATAGTATTAAACGAGGATGATAATCTTGCACGTTCTACCTGCAAGTTTAGAACGTTACTGGGCTAAGAAAACAAATATGAGTAAATATCCGGCTTAAAATGAGTGCAAGGGATCCGAAGGGTGTAGTAAGGGTCAGTTTAATCCTATTTTATACTTCCTACCTGTATATTACATAGTTGAATGGATTTCCTTGAAAAAATAACCTTCGCATAACTACATACATACATACATACATACATAGATCTGTATTTATGTATATGTACTATCTGTATTTAGCTACTAGTGATATGTATTTAAGAAATCCTCTCACGGACGAATGAACCTAAATGCTTGCACACTTTGATACACAACATGAATAGAGGGCGTTCATAAATTATTTAAGGTGAAGTTGCGATTTTTCCTTGTAACAGGTTACGTTCCTTTTCTACGTAAGGCTCAAGTTGAATTGTAACGTAGCGCAAAAAATACGTCACGTATTGTATGCACGTTCCCATAAATGTATCTGTTTCCTACTCGCATGGAAAATTTTGTGGGATTACTAATCTCTTACTCAATTTACTGTTTGCATTGAGATGTTTCTATTTATTTTGTGTCTCCGTGGACAGGGTGTCCAACTTCGTGTTTTTGTATAATAAATGGATTTTCGTGCTGTTCTCGGAATTACGATCAAGTAGTTTAGAACTGTCTTGGGACAGGTTTTACACTAAAACGTCATGCAATGTATGTCTTGAAAAATGCTTTTACATGGATCCAAAAATTATGCGCCACAAGTATCAAATTATAATTAACATATTTTTAGTAAATTTGTGAAATTTAATTGATTTTAAAGAACTAATTTTTTCATGAAACATACCAATATAGATAGATTAACAGACACTATAGTAAGCTTCGTTGCCGACGTTTAATAAGCACTGTATAAAATTAAAAATTTCTTCTAAGCTAGATTACTATAAAGTTACACAATTAGGTTAAAAATAAAGTCACAATCGATAATTGGTGGCACCAATTTGGTCCCATCTAATTTTTACCAATCAAGTATACATAAAGAATTCTAGTATTGATTTTGCCGTTTTCAAAAATTATTTGTAAATATGTACGTCTATTTATTTTTAGAACCTCACAATGTAACACAGTGATTTTTCAGCTTCTTCTTTCCTAGGTCCCGTTTTCAGTGGAGGGTCCTTCAGTCCTGCAAAACCCAGCAGCTAAAAACATACACGAAGGACGAGAAAGTAAGTAAATATTCATAAATATAGATTTCTACCCCAAGTTTTACATATGTATGTACATAAATATGTACATATGTTTATTAAATGTTTCGAATTTCATAAAAATTTAATTGCCAAATACACCCTAACATTTAAATAAGTGACGAGCGATTATTAAAGTTTACAGGAAATTGTTTATAAAGATAAATAAGTGTAACTAACTAACATATACATATCACTCTTAAAAATAAAGCTACCCTTTTAAATGAGTACGTAAATGCACTTAGAATTCTGTATTAAGTTAACTAGCCGAAATCCTGAGAAAACTTTACACTTTATCAAGATAGCGTTATGTACTCTTGATTTAGTACGGATTGCTTAATATAAAATTCAAAGTGCATTTATGCACTTTTCTAAAGGGCAACATTATTTTTAGGAGTGCGTAATCTTTTGTTGGATCAGATTAATTAAATAATAGCGTGAAAGAAAAAAAGTACTTATCATGGATACGAAGATGTCAACAAGGGCAGAGGAAGCCTTGCGGAATCCCGTGGTAATGAATCTACATACTTTGCAAATTTATTATGTATCAATTAAGAAAAACTGCAAATTGCATGCAGATTCTTCGCGAAATTTTTAAATATCGTCCCCTTCCTCCGAAAGAGATCCGTCTCATGTCACAAGCCTGGAATCAAACGGTTCTCTCATTTCCAAAACCGTTGCTCGGACTTGTTCTGGATTCTGGGACGAGAAATCTCGGAAAATCTGAACTTGCAAAAATGGAGGGAAAATTAGCTAGAAATATTCGCGATATGGGTTGCGACGAATCGACACTAGGTTCGCTACCTGTTTGCATGGCGTTCCGCGAATTTGTGCAATTTCTGGATATCACGATAAATCATGAACATTTAGTGACATCTTTGTACGGAATATTGGCAAATTATTCGCCAAATTTGACCCGTCTAACGGTCAACTATTCGCCGATAAGCCATAATTCCGAATCCATCCCAACTATAGAGACAACCACATTTCAGAAACATACAAAGCTAACAGAACTCAATTTAATGTGCAAATCTGGCTCGCACCTAAACGTGCTTTTCGAAACCATCAAGACTTTGATTTTATCCGCTCCGAATCTTCTCGCTGTTAAAATTCCCGCCAATTTTTACCCGGATTTTAGCCCGTGCAAAAAATTAAGATCACTCAGCGTCACGACGAATGTCATTTTTCCCACGACGATGCCTGACTTCAGTTTTGACGAGTTGACCAGAATGCTCCAACAAGTTTCTGGAACCCTGGAAACTTTGGAATTTGAAGATTTAGTCAAAATTTTTGATAGAATGCAAGTTTACGAAGGAAACGCGGCGGGAAGTGCTTTTTCTGGGCGGGTGTTTCAAAATATCGCTAAAATGGGGAAACTAACCCACTTAAGGAACGATCTGATCAACATTTTTTCATGTGGAGATGGACTCGAAGATGTTTCAAAGATGCCATTTTTGAAAAGTTTACATATTTCCAAGTCTTTTCAACCTCCCCATTTCGGAAATTTGGACGATCTTATTGGAAAAATTGGAAAATACGTTTTTGGCACCGTGGCAGAGTTAAATTTACGGGAGATCCATGACCCCGAATTGATTGGAAAGTTAAACATTTCGTTTCCGAGTTTGACCTTTTTGTCAATTACGTCGGGACGGGGGAGAAATTCGTTGGGGGAAATTTCCCCCCTAAAAATTGGGCCTATTTTAGAAGCTTGTTCTAAATTGGAAGGATTGGCGTATTTAATCCTCGAAATTCCAACCTATCCTGAAAAACTGTCCGAATTTGTGGGAGCACTGATGAAATGTGGACATTTTTTGGAAAGTAAGAACACCTGTAATTTTCAGTTATGTAATAATACGTTTACAAATAATTTTCTGCATTGTGTTCAAAAATATGTATTCCTTTCGCCTTAAAAATTCAGTCTTTTGAAAAAATTTTAGTACTTATTCATTAACTTTTATTATTCATTTCTTCAATTTCAAAAATATTGTCCACTAACTATTAATTTTATTTCGCATTCTCCTGGTTGAATGAACTGAAAACTAATTACACCAAACGAATTAGTACAGAGTGAAAAATGAATAATAAATAAAATTATTCATGAAATCACTAAATATTTATTCATTATTCATTGGTTCAAAATTTTGAAAAATAGCATATTTACATATTTTTTTATTCATTCATGCAGAATGCATGAATGAATGAGTATGAATATGTATGTAAATATGCAGGTAAAGTAGGGTTATTTGTGCGTGTCACCTCTATAAGTCCAACTTTGTCCAGTTTGACATATGCGTCGAAAAATGCAAATGAGTTAAGTAAATAGAACAAATAATTCCACTTTATGTGGCCAAGGAATGTGAAAATACAATTTAGAAGCATCTCACAATTTTTCTATTTCTTTAATTTATGATTGACCTTCCTACACAATTTTAAAAATGTCAGTACAATAATTTTCACGAAATTATGTCAAATTAAAACAGGTTTAACCACCTTTATGCTGCACCATCACAATTACGAGCGTCAAATGCGGGACGACTTAACGGTCGAGAACGGAATCCCTGAACTTGAACAATTGTTGAAATCATTGCGAAAAATAGGCACGATTATGTTGGACGATGTCGTTGTAAGTTTCAAAAATCGAAAATAATTTAGCTCGTGGTTTTGACTAAATAATTGTTGTCCTGACGCCTATTTAAATTATTTAGTTCTCACCGGAAACGTTAAAAAATGTGGAATCCTTCAAATCCGTGTTGACCTGCAATAGGCTGTAGATTTCCGAAAGACGGCATGAAAATATGTTCACTGTTGTTATACATAATTTAGTAAAATGTGTGAAGCTGAAAACCACTTTAAAATTATAATTGTTTAAAATCATTCAAATTTTTGTTTCACATACATTTTTGTTGATACAAATATTCACATAATTGACTAAAATAAAAAAATGCCATGTCAAACTACCATAAAGGCGTAAAATCTGATCTTGAATTTGATTACCAATCTTTGCTTAAACGTATATTTGTCGGTTTCATTTTCAATTTTATATGACGAATCAATTGGAAATTTAAATGGCAAATAGTGGCATCCGGTCCGCTTAAGCAATCAACATTTATTCAGAAAGGGGCTATGCAGAAAGCATGTGATCGATTTAAGGGGAGGTAGGGGTCAAGACATCCTAGCCTTCCCATGTTAATTATAACCTGGGGTGAATAGGTCACACTGGGGGGTTGGGCTCAAAATTCCCCAAAATCGATCACATGCTTTATGCACGACCCAAAACTACAATGCTAGAAATCACCTATTGTCAGACAGGTCTTCCCAATGGAGAAAAGAAAAGAAAATGTTTATGCAATTACGTAGAAAACTTATGTAGCTGTTTTAAATATACGAGACTTTATGGCTGCATGGAAAATAATAGTGGCTTACAAACTCATCACTCTTAATTTTCCGACCACTTACATATAAGTCATTAAGGAAATACTTACAACATTGAGGAATGACTTAAAGTGGTAAATTATAATTGGTGCCATCGAAATCTTTTATCACTCCATGTGTACATAAATTTTTGTTGTATTGATTCTGTCTTATTGATAATTTATTTTTAAATATGCGTAGGTACATATCTATTTATGCAGAACCTTACAACGTGAGAGAGTAATCTTTCAGCCTCTTCTTGGGCCCCTTTTTCACTGAAGGGTCCGTTAGTCCAATCCCAGACAAACTGATACAAGAAGGACGAGAGAGAAAGTAAATATTCATATTATCCGTATTCATATACATAGATTTCTACCACAACTTTTACATAGGTACATATGTTTTGTAAAGGTTTTGAACTTCACAAAAATTTAATTGTCCATCACACCCTAACATTTTAATAAGTGCTTTATCAGTGATTACTATAGTTTCCAGTAATTTTTTTTAAACAGATAAAAATGATAATGTTTTTCTAACCATATCACTCTTCAAAGTAATATTACCAAGTAAATGCATTCTGAATTCTATACTAGGTAAAGCTTACATGGCAAACTATACTAAATTCAGAGTAAAGTTAACCTGATAAAGAGTAAAGTTTACTCTGGATTTAGGAGGAATACCTCACTAGTTGCCACCCACAGATCTCGATGCCCTTTGGATATGTTGGAGCATCCCATGAGTGAACAACAACCCCCAAGTGGTTTGATGCCATGGCCACATTTGCGCCCGCCACACCTACTTAAAGGCGCCAAAAACACCAAAATCGCCATCTTCAAACGCTCGCCAAAAATTCAAATTTGGCCACAATTTCAAAATTTTGCACCAGTACACTCCCAGATAGTTGTTTTATAATATCCGACACCAAAATATATTTTTCAAATTTTTTGAATATTTTCGAAAATTTCCTGACCAGAGGTACGTCTTCGAAAAAATTAAAATTTCAAAAAAGTCGAGTTTGATATTGGATGTGATAACACAACTATGTGGGAGTATAATGGTGCAATATTTTCAAAATCCTATAGAAATTGGATTTTTGGGGAGGGTTTTATTGAGTGAAAACAGGGCTTTTTTCGTGTTTTTGACGCCTTTAAGTGGGTGTGGTGGGCGCAAATGTGGCCATGGCATCAAACCACTTGGGGGTTGTTGTTCACTCATGGGGTGCTCCAACATATCCAAAGGGCATCGAGATCTGTGGGTGGCAACTAGTGAGGTTCCCCTCCTTAGTACAAGAATTCAGAGTTCATTTACACTCAAAACAAAACGGTGTCAATATATGACTTAACCGCCTTGGTTACAATTGTGATTCCGAGTAGTAATGAATTTTTTCCGTCCGGTCATAACATCATAACTACCGGTATCCAAATTATCATAACTCGGATTCAACATTGTAACCAAGGCGGTTAAGTCACATATTGACACCGGCGGTGTTGACTCGACAAATTTTTATTTTGAGTGTAGCTTTGGAAAGGGTAACATTATTTTTAAGAGTGGATAGTCCTGTTGTTTTGAAGCAGATTATTTAACTAATTGACGTTTAAAGGTAAAGAAGTGCCCGTCATGTATACCCAGAGATCAGATGAAGCCGCCTTGCAGAATCCCGTGGTAATCTACATATTCACTTTGCAAATTTATAATTTCCCAGTTAAAAAAAATTTGCAAATTGCAGATTCTCCGCGAAATTTTTAAATATCGCCCACTTCGCACGAAGGAGATCCGTCTCATGTCGCAAGCCTGGAATCAGACTCTTCTCTCATTTCCAAAACCCTTAATCGGACTGGTACTCGATTCTGATAGGAATCTCGGGAAATCTGAATTTGCAAAAATGGAGGGAAAATTGGCACGACGTATTCGGGATGTGGGTCGTGACGAATCTGAACTTTCTTCACTGCCGCTTATGTATGGCGTTTCACGAATTTGTGCAATTTCTGGATATCACGGTAAATCATGAACATTTGTTGATATCCTTGTACGCAATATTGGCAAATTATAAATTTGACCCGTCTGAAGATCACTTATTCGCCGATAAGCCCAAATTTGGAGGCCACCTCGATAACTGAAATGACAACATTTCAGAAACACTTAAAGGGTGTTCCGGAAGTAATGCAACTTTGGTCAAATGCACATATAAACTGAAGCAATGCATTAGTTTAGGCGAAATTTTGGTCAGAAATATACAAAGGTTAAAGCTAATTACTTTTTGTTTCGAATGGTCCATACATCTCCTTCAGCCCAATTTGGGGAAGCTTTTGCCGGGTGCTTCCCATTAGTGCTTCGCCACTGTTTTTGGTCCTATTTTTTTTTTTCGACTCAAATAAATTTAGGGAATTTCAACCCTTTATTACATATATTTAAGATTAGTTCGTACAATGAGAATTCCAAACACAACTATTCTAAAAAAAACGGAATAATCATCATACAAATGCAGCTATAATTAGGCCATGATTTAAAATATGCCGAAAACTTATATAAAACCGAGATATAATTTCGTATTTCATTCATTCACGAAAAACTGAAAGAAATGGCTTTATATGATAAGGAAATAAGAAGATTCAGCCTAACCTGACACCTAAGTTGTTGACATACCCACGACGCCAGGTAATGGGTTGGGATCCTCCCTGGGGCTGTGGGTATGTCAACGCGTCCCTAACCTTACCGATGCCAAGTGCTAGGAAATGACTGAAAATAAAGAACCTTCCCAACCCGGGTACGCTCGCATTTTTTGAAATTTCTATAGGTTCTTTAAAAGAATTTAGGAAAGATGTGCCAAATGCAACTTAATACAAGAAGTAAAATTAAATGCTAATTACAGTTTAGTCTCCCACGGCGGTGGATCTTCTTGGGAGGAGGACTTTACTTGTGTCATCAGGGGTAGGAATTAAACACTGCCTCTGACTCACTCTGCTTCATGACCACGTTATTTAGTACAATGACAAGTCAATAAATAATTCTTAGGAAGAGATTTGTAGAATAATACATGCTTATGTAAGAATATTTTAACTACCTGAAGGTGGGAAATTTTATCAAAATATTATTTTAAATTGAGATTAATGTTTATTCTATTGTTGATCATAGTGTATAGTTTATATTTTTTCCATTTTCGATGGAAATTGTCCATCAAAACTTTCCCACCTCGCATGCAAACATGGAATTCAGACAATATTCGTCCGAAAACCATGTGCCTAAAGTGGGACAAATAATCAAAATTGTCCCCAAAGTGATTTAGAAAGTGAACATAGGACTTATATATCGTGCAAAGACCATAATAAATAAATATATTATCGTACTTCATATTTCGAGACCCATTAATCCCTGATCGAGAGACATTAGTCAGGTCTCTGCTGAGAATTTTTGAAATAAAAAGCCAGAGGGGCTGAAAATGGACACATTTAAAATAATGACTAGATTTTATATCTTTAAATGGACAAAAGGGGCAATCCCTACCCTCATGTATGCCCATTGACTCAGCCATTTTTGGCGTTAGACCAGTATTGTGCAAAAGTTTATAAATTACGTCTTTCTCTGGATTACTCACCTCGCTTTTTTGAAGGGTAAGCCAGGCGGAATTATTTAAGGTGTCGAGTGATACCTCAGACCATTTTATTTTTCGCACAATACGAGTACATAGTAAATACTGCTTGTTTTTCACAAAAGATTCAAACTCACCCCCGTTGCCGTATTTTAGGCATCGAAATGTGATACACTCTTGAGATAGTACATAAGTGTCAATAATATTACGCAAAATACTACTCTCACAAGAAATTAACCTTTGAGATGGAAAGCGAGGCATGTTTTGGGAAAAATCGAAACTAATAAAATCCCCAATGGTTTCACACCCCAATTGCATTAAACATGGAAAACTATTATTTTTCAAAAAAAATTGAATTACTAAGCGGGATAAGGTGAAAAATATTGTGAGGGATTAGTTCAAAACTGAGACCAAGTATTTGTACATATTTGCAAAAATTGTCATAAAAAGAAGTACAATAATCTGGTTCATTCTTTAGGAGAATGTTGAAAACATTTTTACGTGCAAAGTTACAAAAATACGAGTCGCTCGAATTTAGGACTTTGCATGCAAATACTACACGAAAAGTTGTCATCTGGATAAACGGATGACGCACACCAATCCCCCCATTTGCCAGAGGCAAATAGAGTAGATGGCGTCCCACCCAACGTTTTGATCCTCTCCAGAGAAAGTTTTCAATTAAGATAGTAATTTCTGTTATAAAAGTTTCCGGGGGGTCAAGAACCTTGAGTACATACCACAGTATTGGGAGAAGGTACGTATTCAAAATTTTAGCCCTTGAAAAAAAACTAACTGCGCAAGTTTTACTGTTATAAAAAGATAACTTCCTACAAAATTTTTCAAACAATAAGGTAAAATTTTGTTCCATGAAGCTTGTATTCCCAAAAAATATACCCAGAATTTTTAACCCATCCTTTCTGGTGGGGAAATTGGTCTCTACCCAAGTAGTCCCCCCTAAGA